TAGTGAGCCCCATAGCCGGCCCTACAGCCCCATAGCGAGCCCCACAGCCCCACAGCTGGCCCTACAGCTGGCCCTATAGCCCCACAGCCAGCCCCACAGCCCAAGTCAGCCCTGCAGCCTCACAGGAGCCCCATAGCTCCACAGCCAGCCCCATAGCCCCAGAGTTGGCCCCACAGCCGACCCCCCATCCCCATCCCCACAGCCAACCCCACAGCCCCATAGCTGACCCCCCAGCCCCACAGCAGACCCACTCAGCCCCATAGCCGATACCCCAGCCCCACAGCCGACCCCCAGCCCCACAGCCGACCCCCATCCCCACAGCCGACCCCCCATCCCCATAGCTGACCCCCCAGCCCCACAGCTGACCCCCCATCCCCACAGCCGACCCCCCCATCCCCACAGCTGACCCCCCATCCCCACAGCCGACCCCACAGCCCCACAGCCAACCCCACAGCCCCATAGCTGACCCCCCAGCCCCATAGCCGACCCCCCATCCCCACAGCTGACCCCCCATCCCCACAGCCGACCCCACAGCCCCACAGCCAACCCCACAGCCCCATAGCTGACCCCCATCCCCATAGCCGACCCCCCAGCCCCACAGCTGACCCCCATCCCCACAGCCGACCCCCATCCCCACAGCTGACCTCCATCCCCACAGCCGACCCCACAGCCCCACAGCCACCCCCCATCCCCACAGCCGACCCCCCAGCCCCACAGCAGACCCCCTCAGCCCCACAGCCGACCCCCCATCCCCATCCCCACAGCCGACCCCCTCAGCCCCATAGCCGATACCCCAGCCCCACAGCCACCCCCCATCCCCACAGCCGACCCCCATCCCCACAGCCGACCCCCATCCCCACAGCTGACCCCCCATCCCCACAGCCGACCCCCCATCCCCACAGCCGACCCCCATCCCCACAGCTGACCCCCCATCCCCACAGCCACCCCCCAGCCCCACAGCTGACCCCCCAGCCCCACAGCCGACCCCCATCCCCACAGCCACCCCCCAGCCCCACAGCCGACCCCCATCCCCACAGCTGACCCCCATCCCCACAGCCGACCCCCCATCCCCACAGCCGACCCCCATCCCCACAGCCGACCCCTCAGCCCCACAGCCGACCCCCATCCCCACAGCTCACCCCCCATCCCCACAGCCACCCCCCATCCCCACAGCTCAACCCCCATCCCCACAGCCGACCCCCCATCCCCACAGCCGACCCCCATCCCCACAGCCGACCCCCATCCCCACAGCCGACCCCCCATCCCCACAGCCGACCCCCATCCCCACAGCCGACCCCCATCCCCATAGCCGACCCCCATCCCCACAGCCGACCCCCATCCCCACAGCCGACCCCCATCCCCACAGCCGACCCCCATCCCCACAGCTGACCCCCCAGCCCCACAGCCACCCCCCATCCCCACAGCCGACCCCCATCCCCACAGCCGACCCCCATCCCCACAGCCGACCCCCATCCCGTCCCCCACCGGTGGTGCCGGAGGTGAAGATGTACAGCGCCGTTTCCCCCATGTCGGGCGGCTTCCAAACGTCCTCCGCTCCCAGCTCCGCCGGCGCCGCTTCCGAAGCTTCGTTCAGATCCTCGCCGCCGGCCGCGTTCCCCCCGGCCCCCATCACCCAAACGGCCACGCCGGCTTCCCGCAGCTCCTCCACGATCGGCTCCACAGCCCCAAAAAGTTCTGCGGGGTTCCACGGACGCCCGGCGGGGATCAGCGCCGCCCGACCCCCCCCCGAACCGCCCGCATCCCCGGCCCCGACCCGGCCTCAGTTCTGCCCCATAGAGCGCAACGGCCCACTGAGCCCATCAACCCCACACACCCCATAGAGATCCCGCACACCCCATAGACCCCATAACTCCATAGAGACCCCCCCACCCCCCATACAGACCCCACAACACCCCATAGACCCCATAACTCCACAGAGACCCCCCCACCCCCCATACAGACCCCACAACACCCCATAGACCCCATAACTCCGTATAGATCCCCCCCATCCCATACAGACCCCACAACACCCCATAGACCCCATAACTCCATAGAGACCCCCCCCATCCCATACAGACCCCACAACACCCCATAGAGATCCCACACACCCCATATAGACTCCGCACACCCCATCTACACCCCACAACACCCCATAGACCCCATAACTCCATAGAGACCCCCCACACCCCCCATACAGACCCCACAACACCCCATAGACCCCATAACTCCATAGAGACCCCCCCACACCCCATACAGACCCCACAACACCCCATAGACCCCATAACTCCATAGAGACCCCCCCCATCCCATACAGACCCCACAACACCCCATAGACCCCATAACTCCATAGAGACGCCCCCCCATCCCATACAGACCCCACAACGCCCGATAGACCCCATAACTCCATAGAGACCCCCCCACCTCCCATACAGACCCCACAACGCCCCATAGACCCCATAACTCCATAGAGATGCCCCCACCCCCCCATACAGACCCCACAACACCCCATAGACCCCATAACTTCATAAAGACACACCCCCATCCCATAACCCCCACACACCCCATAGAGATCCCACACACCCCATATACACCCCACAAACACCTCATAGGCCCCATAACTCCATAGAGACCCCCCCACCCCCCATACAGACCCCACAACACCCCATAGACCCCATAACTCCATAGAGACCCCCCCAATCCCATAATCCCTACACACCCCATAGAGATCCCACACACCCCATATAGACTCTGCACACCCCATCTACACCCCACAAACACCCCATAGACCCCATAACTCCATAGAGACCCCCACACCCCCCATACAGACCCCACAACACCCCATAGACCCCATAACTCCGTATAGACCCCCCCACCCCCAATACAGACCCCACAAACACCCCATAGACCCCATAACTCCATAGAGATGCCCCCCCCATCCCATACAGACCCCACAACGCCCCATAGACCCCATAACTCCATAGAGATGCCCCCACCCCCCATACAGACCCCACAACACCCCATAGACCCCATAACTCCATATAGACCCCCCCCCATCCCATAACCCCTACACACCCCATAGAGATCCCACACACCCCATATAGACTCCACACACCCCATAGACCCCATAACTCCATAGAGACCCCCCCCACCCCCCATACAGACCCCACAAACACCCCACGGACCCCATAACTCCATATAGACCCCCCCCATCCCATAACCCCACAACACCCCATAGACCCCATACCCACCCCACGGGCCCCACAGACCCCACAGACCCCATAGACCCCATATGGACTCCACAGACCCCATACACACCCCACAGACCCCATAGACCCCACAGACCCCATACATCCCACACGGACCCCACAGACCCCATAGACCCCATACATCCTCCAGACCCCATATACCCACAGACCCCATAACCCCATACGGACCCCACAGACCCCATACACTCCGCAGACCCCATAGACCCCATACATCCCACAGACCCCATAATCCCATACAGACCCCACAGACCCCATACATCCCACACACACCCCACAGACCCCATATGGACTCCACAGACCCCATACACCCCACAGACCCCATAACCCCATACGGACCCCACAGACCCCATAACCCCATACATCCCCCAGACCCCATATACCCACAGACCCCATAACCCCACACGGACCCCACAGATCCCACATACCCTATACCCACCCCACACCCCCCACACGGACCCCACAGACCCCATAACCCCATACATCCCCCAGACCCCACAGACCCCCAGACCCCATACATCCCACAGACCCCATAACCCCACACGGACCCCACAGACCCCATAACCCCATACACCCCACAGACCCCATACACCCCATAGACCCCATAACCCCATACACCCCACAGACCCCATACATCCCACAGACCCCATACATCCCACACGGACCCCACAGACCCCATAACCCCATACACCCCACAGACCCCATACACCCCATAGACCCCATAACCCCATACATCCCACAGACCCCATATACCCACAGACCCCATAACCCCACACGGACCCCACAGATCCCACACACCCTATACCCACCCCACACCCCCCACACGGACCCCACAGACCCCACAGACCCCATACATCCCACACACACCCCACACACCCCACACACCCCATAACCCCATACGGACCCCACAGACCCCATACATCCCACACACACCCCACAGACCCCATATGGACTCCACAGACCCCACAGACCCCACAGACCCCACAGACCCCATATACCCCACACGGACCCCACAGACCCCATAACCCCATACGGACCCCACAGACCCCATACATCCCACACACACCCCACAGACCCCATATGGACTCCACAGACCCCACAGACCCCACAGACCCCATAACCCCACACGGACCCCACAGACCCCATAGACCCCATACATCCCCTAGACCCCACAGACCCCCAGACCCCATACACCCCACAGACCCCATACATCCTACAGACCCCATAACCCCACACGGACCCCACAGACCCCATAACCCCATAGACCCCATAACCCCATACATCCCACAGACCCCATATACCCACAGACCCCATAACCCCACACGGACCCCACAGATCCCACACACCCTATACCCACCCCACACCCCACACACGGACCCCACAGACCCCATAGACCCCACAGACCCCATAACCCCATAAACCCATACATCCCCCAGACCCCACAGACCCCCAGACCCCATACACCCCACAGACCCCATACATCCCACAGACCCCATAACCCCACACGGACCCCACAGACCCCATATGGACCCCACAGACCCCATAACCCCATACGGACCCCACAGACCCCATATGGACTCCACAGACCCCATAACCCCATACATCCCCCAGACCCCTCAGACCCCCAGTCCCCATACACCCCACAGACCCCATAACCCCACACGGACCCCACAGACCCCATAGACCCCATATGGACCCCACAGACCCCATAACCCCACACACCCCACAGACCCCATACGGACTCCACAGACCCCATAGACCCCATAACCCCATACGGACCCCACAGACCCCATACATCCCACACACACCCCACAGACCCCATATGGACTCCACAGACCCCACAGACCCCACAGACCTCACAACCCCATACACCCCCCAGACCCCCCAGACCCCCATTCCCCATCCCCATCCTACAGATCCCATCCCCACCCCCCCTCGCCCCCCCGGCCCCCCGGCTCCGCTCACCGCTCTCCACCAGCAGCGCCCTGGCGCCGCTCTCCCGCACGCAGTGCCGCAGCGCCGCGGCTCTCAGCTCGGCCCCCAGCAGCGCCGGCCGCGCTCCGATGGCGATCAGCGCCATCCAGCCGCACACGAACGCGGGGCCGTTGCGGGCCAGCAGCCCCACCGCCACGCGCGGCCCCAGCTTCTCCCCGCGCCCCCCCAGCAGCGGCCGGTCCCGCAACGCCGCCACCATCCGCGCCACCCTCTGGGCCGCCTCCCCGTAGCGCACGGTCCCTTCCCGGACCCGCAAAAACGGCCTTTGCGGGCCTTTCCGAGCTTCCTTCAAGAACCTCGCCGCCAAACTTTCCCCCCCGTCCCGCAACAGCCGCCGGCGGCACCGCGCCGCCCGCACCACGAACGCCGCGTCGGCGCAAAGCGGAGCCCAACGCCGCCGCCACCGCAACGCCAACGCGGCCGCCGCCACCGCCGCCAGCAGCAGCAGCAGCAAAACGCACGGCGCCATGGCCGACCCCCCCCCCCCACCCCCCCCTCACAGCTTCTCCCCCCCTCGGACCCCCCCCCCGAAAAAGAACCGCACCGCCCCCCTGTAGGGGCCGCCCCGCACCGCCCCGCACCGCCCCGCCCCGGCGCGTAGAGCGCAGCGCTGCCTGCGGCGCCACGTGGGGTCGCGGCCCGCCTGGACCCCCCCCCATATCGCGCCCCAATGGGGTCACGGTGAACCCCCCCCCCCCCCATGGGGTCATATTGACCCCAAACCCCCCACAGCGCCCCAATGGGATCACAGTGCCCCCCCCCCCCCCATAGGGTCACAGCCTATATGGACCCCCCCCATATCGTGCTCCAATGGGGTCACACTGCCCCCCCATAGTGCCCCCCCCCTTTCAATAGGGTCACAGTGCCCCCCCCCCCTCCATAGGGTCACACCCCATATTGACCCCCCCGCATATCGTGCCCCAATGGGGTCACACAGCCCCCCCCCCCCACCCATAGTGCCCCCCCCATGGGGTCATATTGACCCCAAACCCCTCACAGCGCCCCAATGGGGCCACAGCGCCCCCCCTCTCCATAGAGTCGCAGCCTATATGAACCCCCCCCTTCCCATATTGCCCCCATGGGGTCTCATCCCATATTGACCCCCCCCCATATCGTGCCCCAATGGGGTCACAGCACCCCCCCTCTCCATAGGGTCACAGCCTATATGGACACTCCCCCTTCCCCATATTGCCCCCATAGGGTCACACCCCATATTGACCCCCCCCCATATCGTGCCCCAATGGGGTCACAGTGCCCCCCCTCCCCTATAATTTCCCCCCCCCCAATTGAGTCATATTGATCCCAAACCCCTCACAGCGCCCCAATGGGGTCACAGGGCCCCCCCCTCCCCATAGGGTCACAGCCTATATGGACCTTCCTCCCCCCTCCCCATATTCCCCCATAGGGTCACACCCCATATAGGCCCCCCCCATATCGCGCCCTAATGGGGTCACACAGCCCCCTCCCCCGACCCCCCACTCCCCAATGGGGTCATATTGACCCCAAACCCCCCACAGCGCCCCAATGGGGTCACAGTGCCCCCCCCCTCCCCATAGGGTCACAGCCTATATGGACCCCCCCCATATCGCGCTCCAATGGGGTCACACTGCCCCCCCATAGTGCCCCCCCCCTTTCAATAGGGTCACAGTGCCCCCTCCCCTCCGTAGGGTCACAGCCTATATGGACCCCCCCCCCCTTCCCATATTGCCCCCATGGGGTCTCACCCCATATTGACCCCCCCAATATCGTGCCCCAATGGGGTCACAGTGCCCCCCCCTCCCCCATAATGCCCCCCCCATGGGGTCATATTGACCCCAAACCCCCCACAGCGCCCCAATGGGGTCACAGCGCCCCCCCCCTCCCCATAGGGTCGCAGCCTATATGAACCCCCCCCTTCCCATATTGCCCCCATGGGGTCTCATCCCATATGGACCCCCCCCCATATCGTGCCCCAATGGGGTCACACAGCCCCCCCCCCCCCCCCATAGTGCCCTCCCCATGGAGTCATATTGACCCCAAACCCCTCACAGCGCCCCCCTGTGGTCACAGCCTATATGGACCCCCACCCCATACTGTGCCCTAATGGGGTCACGGTGCCCCCCCATAGTGCCCCCCCCTTCCAATAGGGTCACATTGCCCCCCCCCCCCCTCCTCCACCATTCCATGGGGTCACACCCCATATTGACCCCCCCCCATATCGTGCCCCAATGGGGTCACAGTGCCCCCCCACCCCATAGGGTCGCACTCCATATCGACCCCCCCCCCATCGTACCCCAATGGGCTCAGGCTTCTCCCACGGCGCCTCCCCCCAGTGTCCCCTCCCTGATGACCCCCACCCCAAATAGCGCATCCCCCCCCCTCCCCCATACACCGCGCTCCCCCCGCCCCCCATACTGTGCCCCCCCCCCCCCCTTTTTGCCGATGGGGGGATTTGAGGGGGGGCTTCGGGGGGGGCTCTGAGCGCGCGGTGCCGCCGGGTACAAAACGGTGCGAGGTTTTTATTGCCTTTAAAAAAGAAAACACTTAAAAATCACCGACGGGGGGGGCGGGGGGGTCACGGTGAGAGACCCCCCCCCCCTCCAACCCCCCCCCATCACCCCCAGCCGCTCGTGCTCACACTTTTTATTTACATCTCGCGTCTGAAAATCAGCACAGCGGTGATGGGAAGGGAGGGGGGGGGGGGGGAACCACTGCCAGCCCCCCCCTCCTCAGCCCCCCTCACCCCCCCCCCTTTTGAGGAGACCCCCAAAATGCGGCTCCTGTGAGGGGAGGGGGTGCGGTTCCACCCCCCGCCACCAGGGGGCGCCGCTCCAAAGGGGGCGCGGAGCAGCGCAGCGGGAGCCGCTCTGCCCCGCGGCATCTCAGTCGCTGTCGGAGCCCACGGCCGAGGAGCCCTTCCGCTTCCGCTTGGTGGGTTTGGGTTTGGTGTCCTCCTCCTCCTATGGGGACAGCAGGGGGCGATGGGGGGGGTCCGACCCCAATCATCCACCCGGGGGTCCCGGCCCCATAGGGAGGCACACGACCCCATAGGGAGAGACGAGGGCCCGAAGCCCTGCGCTCAGCCAGGAGTCCCAGCCCCATAGAGGGACGTGGCCCCATAGGGAGAGATGCAGCCCCATAAGGAGGGACGCAGCCCCATAGCGGAGCACACGACCCTATAGGGAGAAACGTGGCCCCATAGCCCTGCACTCAACAAGGAGTCCCAGCCCCATGGGCGGCCCACGGTCCTATAAGAGCAAACAGCCCCACACCCACCTGGGGGTCCCAGCCCCATAGGGACACCCAGCCCCATAGAGGAGTCCACAGCCCCATAGGGACACCCAGCCCCACACCCACCAAGGGGTCCCAGCCCCATAGGGGATCCCAGTCCTATAGAGGGGTCCCAGCCCCACACCCACCAAGGGATCCCAGCCCCACAGGGACACCCAGCCCCACACCCACCAAGGGATCCCAGCCCCATAGAGGGGTCCGCAGCCCCATAGGGACACCCAGCCCCACACCCACCAAGGCATCCCAGCCCCATAGGAACACCCAGCCCCATAGAGAAGTCCACAGCCCCATAGGGGTCCCAGCCCCACACCCACCAAGGAGTCCCAGCCCCACAGGGACACCCAGCCCCACACCCAACAAGGGGTCCCAGCCCCATAGAGGAGTCCACAGCCCCATAGGGACACCCAGCCCCACACCCACCAAGGGATCCCAGCCCCATAGAGGAGTTCACAGCCCCACAGGGACACCCAGCCCCACACCCACCAAGGGATCCCAGCCCCATAGAGGAGTTCACAGCCCCACAGGGACACCCAGCCCCACACCCACCAAGGGATCCCAGTCCTATAAAGGGGTCCCAGCCCCATAGGGACACCCGGCCCCACACCCACCAAGGGATCCCAGTCCTATAGAGGGGTCCCAGCCCCAATAGGGGCCCACAGCCCCACACCCATCAAGGGGTCCCAGCCCCATAGGGGTCCCAGCCCCACACCCACCAAGGGGTCCCAGCCCCATAGGGGATCCCAGTCCTACAGAGGGGTCTCAGCCCCATAGGGACGCCCAGCCCCACACCCACCAAGGGGTCCCAGCCCCATAGGGGGTGCCAGTCCTACAAAGGGGTCCCAGCCCCATAGGGACACCCAGCCCCACACCCACCAAGGGATCCCAGTCCTATAGAGGGGTCCCAGCCCCAATAGGGGCCCACAGCCCCACAACCACCAAGGGGTCCCAGCCCCATAGGGGGTGCCAGTCCTATAGAGGGGTCCCAGCCCCACACCCACCAAGGGGTCCCAGCCCCATAGGGGGTGCCAATCCTATGGAGGGGTCCCAGCCCCATAGGGACACCCAGCCCCACACCCACCAAGGTGGCACATCCCCATAGGGGATCCCAGTCCTATAGAGGGGTCCCAGCCCCATAGGGACACCCAGCCCCACACCCACCAAGGGATCCCAGCCCCATAGAGGGGTCCCAGCCCCACAGGGACACCCAGCCCCACACCCAACAAGGGGTCCCAGCCCCATAGGGGATCCCAGTCCTATAGAGGGGTCCCAGCCCCATAGGGGTCCCAGCCCCACACCCACCAAGGGGTCCCAGCCCCACAGGGACACCCAGCCCCACACCCACCAAGGGGTCCCAGCCCCACAGAAGGGTCCCCAGCCCCCCCCTCACCGAGGCGCTGCTGGACGCCGACTCCTCCTCGTTGTTGGGGGGCTGCGCGGCGCTCTTGCGGCTGCGGGGGCTGGCGAGGGCGGCCTTGCGGCGGCTCTTGGGGGGTTTGCTGGACGAATCCTCGTATTCCTCAGCCAGGGAGAAAAGGTCGCTGAACCTGGGGGGGGAAAAAGGGGGGGGGGGATGAGAGGGGCCGGGTGGAGGCGGCTGGGTTATGGGGTGGGGGGGGGGGGGGGGTTGGGGTCTCACTTCATCTTATGCGCCTCGTCGCAGCTGGCCTGGACGTGCTGCAGGGCCTGCAGGATGGGCGTCTGGCTGAAAACTGCAGGGGAGGGGGGAGAAGGGGGGGGGTCGATGGGGGGCTGGAGACCCCACCTCGTTGAAGCCCATCAACCCCCACAGGGTGAGGGACGCTCAGCCCCACACACAGCAAGGGGTTCCTGCCCCATAGGGACACCCAGCCCCATAAGGGGGCACCCAGTTCCAATGGGGGCACCCAGTTCCAATAGGGACACCCAGCCCCATAGAGGGGTCTGCAGCCCCATAGAGATGCTCAGCCCCACACCCACCAAGGGATCCCAGCCCCATAGGGACACCCAGCCCCATAAGGGGGCACCCAGTTCCAATAGGGACACCCAGCCCCATAGAGGGGTCCACAGCCCCATAGAGATGCTCAGCCCCACACACAGCAAGGGGTCCCAGCCCCATAGGGACACCCAGCCCCATAAGGGGGCACCCAGTTCCAATAGGGGCACCCAGCCCCATAGAGGGGTCCGCAGACCTATAGGGACACCCAGCCCCATAGAGGGATCCACAGCCCCATAGAGATGCTCAGCCCCATACACAGCAAGGGGTCCCAGCCCCATAGGGACACCCAGCCCCATAGAGGGGTCCGCAGCCCCATAGAGATGCTCAGCCCCACACACAGCAAGGGGTCGCAGCCCCATAGGGACACCCAGCCCCATAAGGGGGCACCCAGTTCCAATAGGGGCACCCAGCCCCATAGAGGGGTCCGCAGACCTATAGGGACACCCAGCCCCATAGAGGGATCCACAGCCCCATAGAGATGCTCAGCCCCACACACAGCAAGGGGTCCCAGCCCCATAGGGACACCCAGCCCCATAAGGGGGCACCCAGTTCCAATAGGGGAACCCAGCCCCATAGAGGGGTCCGCAGCCCCATAGAGATGCTCAGCCCCACACACAGCAAGGGGTCCCAGCCCCATAGGGACACCCAGCCCCACACCCACCAAGAGATCCCAGTCCTGTAGAGGGGTCCCAGCCCCACACCCACCAAGGGATCCCAGCCCCATAGGGACACCCAGCCCCATAAGGGGGCACCCAGTTCCAATAGGGGCACCCAGCCCCATAGAGGGATCCACAGCCCCATAGAGATGCTCAGCCCCACACCCACCAAGGGGTCCCTGCCCCATAGAGACACCCAGCCCCATAGAGGGGTCCACAGCCCCATAGAGATGCTCAGCCCCACACACAGCAAGGGGTCCCAGCCCCATAGGGACACCCAGCCCCATAAGAGGGCACCCAGTTCCAATAGGGACTCCCAGCCCCATAGAGGGGTCCGCAGACCTATAGGGACACCCAGCCCCATAGAGGGATCCACAGCCCCATAGAGATGCTCAGCCCCACACACAGCAAGGGGTCCCAGCCCCATAGGGACACCCAGCCCCACACCCACCAAGAGATCCCAGTCCTGTAGAGGGGTCCCAGCCCCACACCCACCAAGGGATCCCAGCCCCATAGGGACACCCAGCCCCATAAGGGGGCACCCAGTTCCAATAGGGGCACCCAGCCCCATAGAGGGATCCACAGCCCCATAGAAATGCTCAGCCCCACACACAGCAAGGGGTTCCAGCCCCATAGGGACACCCAGCCCCATAAGGGGGCACCCAGTTCCAATAGGGGCACCCAGCCCCATAGAGGGGTCCGCAGCCCCATAGAGATGCTCAGCCCCACACACAGCAAGGGGTCCCAGCCCCATAGGGACACCCAGCCCCATAAGGGGGCACCCAGTTCCAATAGGGGAACCCAGCCCCATAGAGGGGTCCGCAGCCCCATAGAGATGCTCAGCCCCACACACAGCAAGGGGTCCCTGCCCCATAGGGACACCCAGCCCCATAGAGGGGTCCGCAGCCCCATAGAGATGCTCAGCCCCACACACAGCAAGGGGTCCCAGCCCCATAGGGACACCCAGCCCCACACCCACCAAGAGATCCCAGTCCTGTAGAGGGGTCCCAGCCCCACACCCACCAAGGGATCCCAACCCCATAGGGACACCCAGCCCCATAAGGGGGCACCCAGTTCCAATAGGGGCACCCAGCCCCATAGAGGGATCCACAGCCCCATAGAGATGCTCAGCCCCACACCCACCAAGGGGTTCCAGCCCCATAGGGACACCCAGCCCCATAGAGGGATCCACAGCCCCATAGAGATGCTCAGCCCCACACACAGCAAGGGGTCCCAGCCCCATAGAGGGTGCCAGTCCTATAGAAGGGTCCCAACCCCACACCCACCAAGGGGTCCCAGCCCCATAGGGACACCCAGCCCCACACCCACCAAGAAATCCCAGTCCTATAAAGGGGTCCCAGCCCCACACCCACCAAGGGATCCCAGCCCCATAGGGACGCCCAGTCCCATAAGGGGGTACCCAGTTCCAATAGGGGCACCCAGCCCCATAGAGAGGTCCGCAGACCCATAGGGACACCCAGCCCCATAGGGACACTCAGACCCATAGAGGGATGCACAACCCCATAGGGACAGCCAGCCCTTCACCCACCAAGGGATCCCAGTCCTATAGAGGGGTCCCAGCCCCACACCCACCAAAGGGTTCCAGCCCCATAGGAACACCCAGCCCCATAGAGGGATGCACAGCCCCATAGGGACACCCAGCCCTTCACCCACCAAGGGATCCCAGTCCTATAGAGGGGTCCCAGCCCCACACCCACCAAAGGGTTCCAGCCCCATAGGAACACCCAGCCCCATAGAGGGATGCACAGCCCCATAGGAACACCCAGCCCCATAGAGGGATGCACAGCCCCATAGGAACACCCAGCCCCATAGAGGGATGCACAGCCCCATAGGAACACCCAGCCCCATAGAGGGATGCACAGCCCCGTAGGGACACCCAGCCCTTCACCCACCAAGGGATCCCAGTCCTATAGAGGGGTCCCAGCCCCACATCCACCCCCCCAGTCCCCCATAGACCCCCCACTTCGCCCCCAGCCCCACGGCACGCACAGTTCTGCTTGGTGTTGGCCAGGTTGAGGCGCAGGCTGTCCAGGTGCTCCAGGATCTGCTCCAGGGTGAGCTGGGCCAGTTTGCTGCTGGAGCTGCGCAGGCTGGGGGCAGAGCGCGAGCGCCCGTTGGTCCTGCGGGGTCGGCAGCCATGGACCCCTCCTCCTCCTGCCCAGCCCCAGCCCGACCCCCCCCCCCCACCCCCCCCCCCCCCCTTCTCCCCCCCGCGCCGCCCCTCGGGGATGCGCTGCTATGGGGGTTGGTGGCCGTGGGGACACAGCGATGGGGACGCAGAACCCTGGGGCACACGGCTGTGGGGACACACAGCCACGGGGATATGTGGCCATGGGGACAGCCCTGGGGACACCAGGCCATGGGGACACCCAGCTATGGGGACACCCAGCCCATGGGGACAGCCCTAAGGATACCAGGCCATAGGGACACCCAGACATAGGGACAGTCCTAAGGACACCCAGCCATAGGGACACCTGGCTATGGGGACACCCAGTGATGGGGACACCCAGTGATGGGGACACCCAGTGATGGGGACACCCAGCCCATGGGGACAGCCCTAAGGACACCCGGCCATAGGGACACCCAGCCATGGGGACACCCAGCCCTAGGGACACCCAGACATAAGGACAGCCCTAAGGACACCCAGCCATGGGGACACCCAGCCATAGGGACAGCCCTAAGGACACCCAGACATAAGGACAGCCCTGCAGACACCAGGCCATGGGGACACCCAGCCATAGGGACACCCAGACATAGGGACCCCAGACATAGGGACACCCAGACATAGGGACACCCAGACATAGGGACAGTCCTAAGGACACCCAGCCATAGGGACCCCAGACATAGGGACACCCAGACATAGGGACAGTCCTAAGGACACCCAGCCATGGGGACAACCCTAAGGACACCCAGCCCTTGGGATCCTGGGCCATAGGGACCCTGGGCCATAGGGACACCCAGCCCTAGGGACACCCAGCCATAGGGACACCTGGCTATGGGGACACCCAGTGATGGGGACAGCCCTAAGGACACCCAGCCATAGGGACACCCAGCCCTAGGGTCACCCAGACATAGGGACAGTCCTAAGGACACCCAGCCATGGGGACCCTGGGCCATAGGGACACCCAGCCATGGGGACACCCAACCATGGGGACACCCAGCCATAGGGACACCCAGCCATAGGGACACCCTGCCATCCCCCCCGGCCCGGCCCCCCTCTCACCTCTGCCTCTTCCTGGGCAGGCTGTTGTTCTTGATGAGCAGCGCCTTGATGTGCTCGGCCAGCAGGTCGTCGTGCTTCAGCCCCCAGTGCCGCAGGATGCTGGTGGTGAACTGATCGTCGGGGTGGCACGGGCGGCTCAGCACCATCTTCACCATCTCCTCGCTGGGCCTGCGGGGGGCAGCGGTGGGGCAGCGGGGGGGCGGGGGGGGGCAGGGGGAGGGCAGGGGGAGGGCAGGGGGGCCGGGCGCCCCGCTGCAGCCCCGTGGCGCTGCTGCGCTGTGGGTCGCGGCGGCACTCACTTCTCTCGGCGCAGCTGCAGCAGCAAACAGGAGAGAGCCTCGGGGTGCTCTGCAACGAGAGGGCAGCTCAGCGGAGGGCACACAGCAATGCACGGCACCAGGAGCAATGCGGAGCAATGCGGAGCAACGCAGAACAATGCAGAGCAATGCAGCACCAGGAGCAATGCGGAGCAATGCAGAGCAATGCGGAGCAATGCAGAGCAATGCAGAACAATGCAGAGCAATGCAGCACCAGGAGCAATGCAGAGCAATGCAGAACAATGCAGAGCAATGCGGAGCAATGCAGAGCAATGCACAGCACCAGGAGCAATGCGGAGCAATGCAGAGCAATGCGGAGCAATGCAGAGCAATGCAGAGCACTGCAGAGCAATGCAGAGCAATGCACAGCACCAGGAGCAATGCGGAGCAATGCAGAGCAATGCGGAACAATGCAGAGCAATGCAGAGCAATGCACGGCACCAGGAGCAATGCAGAGCAATGCAGAGCAATGCAGAGCAATGCAAAGTAATGCGGAGCAATGCGGAGCAATGCAGGGCAATGCACGGCAATGCAGGGCACCATGAGCACTGCAGAGCAATGCAGAGCAATGCAGAGCAATGCAAAGCAATGCAGGGCACCATGTGGCACTGCAGAGCACTGCAGAGCGCCAGGCAGCAATGCAGACCAATGCAGAGCACTACACAGCACTATGCAGCACTGCACACCACAGCACACAGCACTGTTCCATGCAGCACCATGCAGCAATGCAGAGCAATGCAGAGCAATGCATGGCACCATGCAGCAATGCAGAGCAACACAGAGCACCATGCAGCACAGCACCATTCCATGCAGCACAGCACCTTTCGATGCAGCACAGTACCATTCCATGCAGCACAGCACCTTTCGATGCAGCACAGCACCATTCCATGCAGCACAGCACCTTTCCATGCAGCACAGCACCTTTCGATGCAGCACAGCACCATTCCATGCAGCACAGCACCTTTCGATGCAGCACAGCACCTTTCCATGCAGCACAGCACCATTCCATGCAGCACAGCACCTTTCGATGCAGCACAGCACCATTCCATGCAGCACAGCACCTTTCGATGCAGCACAGCACCTTTCCATGCAGCACAGCACCATTCCATGCAGCACAGCACCATTCCATGCAGCACAGCACCATTCCATGCAGCACCATTCCATGCAGCACAGCACCTTTCCATGCAGCACAGCACCATTCCATGCAGCACAGCACCTTTCCATGCAGCACAGCACCATTCCATGCAGCACCTTTCCATGCAGCACCACACCATTCCATGCAGCACCTTTCCATGCAGCACCACACCATTCCATGCAGCACCTTTCCATGCAGCACAGCACCTTTCCATGCAGCACAGCACCTTTCCATACAGCACAGCACCTTTCCATGCAGCACAGCACCTTTCCATGCAGCACCTTTCCATGCAGCACCTTTCCATGCAGCACAGCACCATTCCATGCAGCACAGCACCATTCCATGCAGCACAGCACCTTTCCATGCAGCACAGCACCTTTCCATGCAGCACAGCACCTTTCCATGCAGCACAGCACCATTCCATGCAGCACAGCACCTTTCCATGCAGCACAGCACCTTTCCATGCAGCACAGCACCTTTCCATGCAGCACAGCACCATTCCATGCAGCACAGCACCATTCCATGCAGCACCTTTCCATGCAGCACAGCACCTTTCCATGCAGCACAGCACCTTTCCATGCAGCACAGCACCATTCCATGCAGCACAGCACCTTTCCATGCAGCACAGCACCTTTCCATGCAGCACAGCACCTTTCCATGCAGCACAGCACCGTGCAGCACGGCTCCACGCTCACCTTTGTACTTGAGGTGCTGCAGGATGGGGATGATGGCCTCCAAGGGGATGCTGTGCGCCAGGAAGAGCTGCCACGTGCAGTACTGCTCAAAGGTCTCCCAATCCAGGCTCTGAACTGAGGGGGGGGGGGGGACACAAACGAGCCGCTCATTAACGAGCTCAGGTTCATCTTTGGAACCGCCAAGCTGGGTCGGAGCTGTGCCACAACGGGTGCCAACGTGGAGGGCGCAGAGATTGGGGGCTGAGGGCTCTGCAAACCCCCAGGGATGGATTGGGGGGGGGGGGGGGGGGGGGGCGCAGCACTCACTGAGGATGTTGAGCACGGAATCCTTGCGGAACATGACGAGGTTCCCCATCATCACGTGGCAAACCAACTCCTGCAGCTGCAGGGAGAGCATGGGGTCAGCATCAGCGCTGCGTGCGGAGCAGCTCGGGGCAAGCGGGGATCCAGGAGGAGCCCAGCACTCAGTGAGCTGCAGGTGGCTGCAAATTGGGGGCTGGGACCCCCGGGGGGGGATGTGGAGGGGGGGGGTGGGGTCCCAGCCCCTCTTAGGAGGGAGATTTTCAGCCTGAGGGCGGTGAGGCACTGGCACAGGTTGCCCAAGGAGGCTGTGGATGCCCCAGCCCTGCAGGCATTGGAGGCCAGGCTGGATGTGGCTCTGGGCAGCCTGGGCTGCTGGTTGGAGACCTGCACACAGCAGGGTTGGAGCTGATGGCCGCTGTGAGCCTTTGCAACCCAACGGCATTCAATGAGTCCATGATTCTTTGGGTCCCTATGGCACCCTATGGGTCCCTATGGCACCCTGTAGGGTCTCATGGCTCCCTATGGATCCCCATGGCACCATGTAGGGTCTCATGGCTCCCTATGGATCCCTATGGCACCCTGTGGATCCTTATGGCACCCTATGGGTTCTCAGCACAGCCTGGGCTGCTGGTTGGAGACCTGCACACAGCAGGGTTGGAGCTGATGGCCGCTGTGGGCCTTTGCAACCCAGGCCAATGAGTCCATGATTCTATTAATCCTAATGGCACCCTATGGATTCTTATGACACCCTATGGATCCCTATGGCACCCCATGGGTTCTCAGGGCAGCCTGCAGTGGTGGTTGGTGACCCTGCACACAGCAGGGGGTTGGAATGAGGTGAACATTGTGATCCTTTGCAACCCAGGCCATTCTATGAGTCAGTGATTCCATGCATCCTAATGGCACCCTGTGGGTCCTTATGGCACCCTATGGATCCTTATGGCACCCCATGGGTTCTCAGAGCAGCCTGGGCTGCTGGTTGGAGAACTGCACACAGCAGGGTTGGAGCTGATGGCCGTTGTGCTCCTTTGCAACCCAGGGCATCCGAGGATTCTATGATGATTCTATGATGACGGCACCCTGTGCATCCTTATGGCACCCTATGGATCCCTATGGCACCCTATGGGTTCTCAGCACAGCCTGCTCTGCTGGTTGGTGACCCTGCACACTACAGGGGTTGGAATGAGGTGAACATTGTGCTCCTTTTCAATTCAGACCATTCTAGGATTCTATGATGATGGCACTCTGTGGATGTCTAAGGCACACTACAGGGTCTTATGGCACTCTATGGCTCCCTATGGCACCCTATGGATCCCTATGGCTCCCTATGGATCCCTATGGCACCCTATGGGTTCTCAGCACAGCCTGGGCTGCTGCTTGGTGCCCTGCACACAGCAAGGTTGGAGCTGATGGTTGTTCTGCTCCTTTGCAACCCAGGCCATTCTAAGAGTCAATGATTCTGTGGGTCCCTGTGGCACCCTGTGGATCCCTATGGCACCCTATGGGTCTCTGTGGATCTCTATGGATCCCTAAGGCACACTGTAGGGTCTAATGACTCCCTATGGATCCCTATGGCACCCTGTGGATCCCTATGGCACCCTATGGGTCTCTGTGGATCTCTATGGATCCCTATGGTACACTGTAGGGTCTAATGACTCCCTACGGATCCTTATGGCACCCTATGGATCCCTATGGCACCCTGTGGATCCCTTTGGCACCCTATGGGTCTCTGTAGCAGTCTATGGCACCCTATGGATCCTTATGGTACCCTATGGCACCCTATGGCACCCTATGGCACCCTGTGGATCCCTTTGGCACCCTATGGGTCTCTGTGGATCTCTATGGATCCCTATGGTACACTGTAGGGTCTAATGACTCCCTATGGATCCTTATGGCACCCTATGGATCCCTATGGCACACTGTAGGGTCTAATGACTCCCTATGGATCCCTATGGCACCCTGTGGATCCCTATGGCACCCTATGGGTCTCTGTGGATCTCTATGGATCCCTATGGTACACTGTAGGGTCTAATGACTCCCTATGGATCCTTATGGCACCCTATGGATCCCTATGGCACACTGTAGGGTCTAATGACTCCCTATGGATCCCTATGGCACCCTGTGGATCCCTATGGCACCCTATGGGTCTCTGTGGATCTCTATGGATCCCTATGGCACACTGTAGGGTCTAATGACTCCCTATGGATCCTTATGGCACCCTATGGATCCCTATGGCACACTGTAGGGTCTAATGACTCCCTATGGATCCCTATGGCACCCTGTGGATCCCTATGGCACCCTATGGGTCTATGTGGATCTCTATGGATCCCTATGGCACACTGTAGGGTCTAATGACTCCCTATGGATCCCTATGGCACCCTATGGCACCCTATGGCACCCTGTGGATCCCTTTGGCACCCTATGGGTCTCTGTAGCACTCTATGACTCCCTATGGCACCCTATGGATCCCTATGGCACCCTGTGGGTTCTCAGGGCAGCCTGGCTGCTGGCTGGTGACGCTGCCCACAGCAGGGTTGGAGCTGATGGCCATTGAGGTCCTTTTCTTTTAACCCAGGCCGTTCTACGCATCCGTGATTCTTTGATACGGGCTGGGCGAAGAGGCAGAGCGCAGTGGGGGGAAAAAGGGGGCAAAGAATCATAGGAAGGAATGAAGGAACTGCAGAAGGGAGGAAATGCTGCGATTGGGGAAAGCTGAAGCTCTGCCCAGCCCAGGGTCGGGGTTGGGGGGCGGTGACGCATTGCAGCCCCACAGCCGGGGGTTTTGGGGCGCTGAGCCCAAATAACGGCATTAATCACAGAATCACAGAATCACCCGGGTCGGAAGGGACCTCAAGGATCTCGTAGTTCCAACCCCCTGCCCAGCAGGGCCACCAAACATCCACATTCAGATCAGGTTGCCCAGGACCCCGTCCAACCTGGCCTTGAACACGGCCAAGGACGGGGCATCACAGCCTCCCTGGGCAGCCCGTTCCAGGGCCTGACTGCTCTCCTGTTAAAGAACTTCCCCCTAACATCCAACTGAAATCTTCCCTCCTTCAACTTGGATGGGTTCCTATGGGGCTCTATGGGTCCCCTTGGTTCCTATAGGTTCTATGGGTTCCCATGGGTTCCTATGGGGCTCTATGGGTTCCTATGGGGCTCTATGGGTCCCGTTGGTTCCTATGGGTTCTATGGGTTCCCATGGGTTCCTATGGGGCTCTATGGGTTCCTATGGGGCGCTATGGGTCCCCTTGGTTCCTATGGGTTCTATGGGTTCCATTGGGTTCCTATGGGGCTCTATGGGTTCCTATGGGTTCCTATGGGGCTCTATGGGTTCCTATGGCTTCCTATGGGTCCCCTTGGTTCCTATGGGGCTCTGTGGGTTCCTATGGGTTCCTATGGGTTCTATGGGTTCCTATGGGTTCCTATGGGTCCCCTTGGTTCCTATGGGTTCTATGGGTTCCCATGGGTTCCTATGGGTCCCCTTGGTTCCTATGGGTTCTATGGGTCCCCTTGGTTCCTATGGGTTCTATGGGTTCCTATGGGCTCCTATGGGGCCAACCGCTCTCCTTGTGAAGAACTTCCCCCTAACATCCAACCTCAATCTTCCCTCCCTCAACTTGGATGGGTTCCTATGGGTTCCTATGGGTTCCTATGGGGCTCTGTGGGTTCCTATGGGTTCCTATGGGGCTCTATGGGTCCCCTTGGTTCCTATGGGTTCCCATGGTTTCCTATGGGGCTCTATGGGTTCCTATGGGTTCCTATGGGTTCCTATGGGGCTCTGTGGGTTCCTATGGGTTCCTATGGGGCTCTATGGGTCCCCTTGGTTCCTATGGGTTCTATGGGTTCCCATGGGTTCCTATGGGGCTCTGTGGGTTCCTATGGGTTCTATGGGTTCCTATGGGTTCCTATGGGTCCCCTTGGTTCCTATGGGGCTCTATGGGTCCCCTTGGTTCCTATGGGTTCTATGGGTTCCCATGGGTTCCTATGGGTCCCCTTGGTTCCTATGGGTTCTATGGGTCCCCTTGGTTCCTATGGGTTCTATGGGTTCCATTGGGTTCCTATGGGGTTCTGTGGGTTCCTATGGGTTCTATGGGTTCCCATGGGTTCCTATGGGTTCCTATGGGCTCCTATGGGGCTCTATGGGTCCCCTTGGTTCCTATGGGTTCTATGGGTTCCTATGGGTTCTATGGGTTCCTATGGGTTCCTATGGGTCCCCTTGGTTCCTATGGGTTCTATGGGTCCCCTTGGTTCCTATGGGTTCTATGGGTTCCTATGGGCTCCTATGGGGCTAACCGCTCTCCTTGTGAAGAACTTCCCCCTAACATCCAACCTCAATCTTCCCTCCCTCAACTCGGACCCATTTCCCCTCGTCCTGCTCTTGTCAGCCCTTTGGAAGAGTTGACTCCCCTCCTGGCTGTGGGTTCCCTTCAGCTATCCATAGGCTGCACTGAGGTCGCCCCGCACGCAGCTCCGCAGCCGCCCCAAGGATGCGGCTCAGCAGGAGGAACCCAGCGGGCGAAGGGGCACCGAGGAGGAGCTTCCAGCCTCCCGGGATGGCAGGAACGCAGCTCCCCCCTCACCTGCGCCGAGTCGATGACGGCCACGATCATGTTGAGCAGCTCGCCGCTGCGCAGCGTCTCGTCTGGGAACTGCGGGGAGGGCAGAGGAGGCCTGGGTCAGGGGGGGGACGAGGAGGAGGGGGGGCACGAGAGCAAATCCTGCGTCAGCAAAAGGGGGGAAGGGGGGGCAAAAGGCCCAGAGCTGGAGGGATGCGTGGGGATTCTGCTGCTGCTGCTGTGTGCAATGACACCTCCCAGCCCCATCCCCACCTGTGGGGCTGCGTGGGGCCATACAGGGATGTATGGGGTTGTGTGGGGCCATACAGGGTTGTATGGGACCATGTGGGGCCATACAGGGCTCTATGGGGTTGCGTGGGGCCATACAGGGCTCTATGGGGCTCTGTGGGGCCATACAGGGATGTATGGGGCCGTGTGGGGCCATACAAGGCTGCATAGGACCATACAGGGCTGTAGGGGCTGCATGGGGCCATACAGGGCTCTATGGGGTTGCGTGAGGCCACACAGGGATGTATGGGGTTGCGTGGGGCCATACAGGGCTCTATGGGGCCGTGTGGGGCCATACAAGGCTGCATAGGACCATACAGGGCTGTAGGGGCTGCATGGGGCCATACAGGGCTCTATGGGGTTGCGTGAGGCCACACAGGGATGTATGGGGTTGCGTGGGGCCATACAGGGCTGTAGGGGCTCTGTGGGGCCACACAGGGATGTATGGGGTTGTGTGGGGCCATACAGGGTTGTATGGGACCGTGTGGGGCCATACAGGGCTGCGTAGGACCATACATGGCTGTAGGTGCCATACAGGGCTCTATGGGGTTGCGTGGGGCCATACAGGAATGTATGGGGTTGTGTGGGGTCATACAGGGCTGTATGGGGCCATACAGGGCTGTATGGGGCCGCGTGGGGCCATATAGGGCTGTATAGGACCATACAGGGCTGTATAGGACCATACAGGGCTGTATGGGGCTGCGTGGGGCCATACCGGGCTGTGTGGGGCCATACAGGGCTGTATGGGGTGAGGGATAAGCATTGGTTTCAAAGCAGCTATATGGGGCTGTGTGGGGCCATGGAGGGCTATATGGGTAGGGGTGAGGGAGGCGCATTGGTCTCACTGCAGCTGTATGGGGCTGTATGGGGTCACGTAGGGACATACAGGGCTCTATAGGGCCATATGGGGCAGGAGATGGACGACCATTGGTCTCAATGCAGCCATATGGGGCCATATGGGGCCGTATGGGGCTCTATAGGGCCATATGGGGCAGAAGATGGACGACCATTGGTCTCAGTGCAGCCATATGGGGCCATATGGGGCCGTACGGGGCTCTATAGGGCTATATGGGGCAGAGTGTTGGATGACCATTGGTCTCAATGCAGCCATATGGGGCTCTATAGGGCCATATGGGGCAGGGAGATGGATGACCATTGGTCACAATGCAGCCGTATGGGACTGTATGGGGCTCTATAGGGCTCTATAGGGCCATATGGGGCAGGAGATGGACGACCATTGGTCTCAATGCAGCCATATGGGGCTCTATAGGACCATGTGGGGCAGAGTGATGGACGACCATTGGACTCAATGCAGCTGTATGGGGCTCTATAGGGCCATATGGGGCAGGAGATGGACGACCATTGTTCTCAATACAGCCATATGGGGCTCTATAGGGCCATATGGGGCAGAGTGATGAACGACCATTGGTCTCAGTGCAGCCATATGAGGCCGTATGGGGCTCTATAGGGCCATATGGGCTCTATAGGGCCATATGGGGCAGAGTGATGGATGACCATTGGTCTCAGTGCAGCTGTATGGGGCTCTATAGGGCCATATGGGGCAGAGTGATGGACGACCATTGGTGTCAATGCAGCCATATGAGGCTCTATAGGGCCATATGGAGCTCTATAGGGCCATATGGAGCAGGAGATGGATGACCATTGGTCTCAATGCAGCTGTATGGGGCCATATGGGGCTCTATAGGGCCATATGGGGCAGAGTGATGGACGACCATTGTTCTCAATGCAGCCATATGGGGATGTATGGGGCCATATGGGGCTCTATAGGGTCATATGGGGCAGGAGATGGACGACCATTGGTCTCAATGCAGCCATATGGGGATGTATGGGGCCATATGGGGCTCTATAGGGCCATATGGGGCAGGAAATGGACGACCATTGGTCTCAGTGCAGCCATATAGAGCCATATGGGGCTCTATAGGACCATATGGGGCAGTGATGGACGACCATTGGTCTCAGTGCAGCCATATGGGGCCATATGGGGCCGTATGGGGCTCTATAGGACCATATGGGGCAGGAGATGGACGACCATTGGTCTCAATGCAGCCATATGGGGATGTATGGGGCCATATGGGGCTCTATAGGACCATATGGGGCAGGAGATGGAATACCATTGGTCTCAATGCAGCCATATGGGGCCGCACGGGGCCTCAGAAGCCAAGCAACCCCCGCCCCCCATCCGCGCCGCACCTCGGTGTAGATGGACGGGGTGAGGTAGCAGAGCAGGCGCACGTCGTCCTCCTGGCAGGCCTTCATGTCCATCATCAGACACGTGTGCAGGTCCCCCAGCTGCGTGGCCTGAGCGAAGGACTCGTAAAGGTTCATCTTCCCTGCTGCTGCTTTGCTGGGGAAGAGGGGAGGGGAGAGTCGGGCGAGTTGGGGGGGGGGGGGGGGCTGTGTGGGGTCTCCCCAAAGCCCCGCTGCCTACCTGGCTTTTAGGTAATAGAGGAGGTGGTACCCGATTTTGGGCTGCTTCTGGTAGAGCTCCGACAGGAGATCCAGCAGCAGGGAGAAGCCGCTGTTGTCCTCCTGCATCTGGCACAGGTTCCTGGGGGAGGGGGCAGAAAAAAAGGGGGGGGAGGTGGGGGGGGGTTGGTGGTTGTGTGTGGGATGGGATTGGGGGGGGGGGGATATGGGGGTGGGATACAGGAGGTGGGATATTGGAATGGGATACGGGGGGGGGATGTTGGGGATGGGGCATTGGGAGTGGGATACTGGGGGTGGGACACACATGGGGGTGGGATATGGGGATGCTGGGGGTGGGATATTGGGATGGGGCATTGGGGGTGGGATATTGGGGGTGAGACACACAGTGGGGATGGGCTATGGGGATATTGGGGCTGGACACACAGTGGGGCCAGGATATGGGGATACTGGGGTGGGACACGCATGGGGGGTGGGATATGGGGATGGGGCCTTGGGGATGGGATACTGGGGGTGTGATATGGGGATACTGGGGGTGGGACACACATTGGGGTCAGGATATGGGGATACTGGCATGGGACACACATTGGGGTGGGATATGGGGACGGGGCACACACTGGGGATGGGTTATTAGGGGTGGGACACACAGTGGGGATGGGATATGGGGATGGGGCACACACTGGGGATATGATATGGGGATATTGGGGCAGGACACACAGTGGGGCCAGGATATGGGGATGCTGGGGGTGGGAGAGACATTGAGTGTGGGATATGGGGATGGGGCACATTGGGGATAGGATATGGGGATACTGGGGGTGGGATACTGGGATGGGGCATTGGGGGTAGGATACTGGGGGTGGGACACACATTGGGGCCAGGACATAGGGGACGGGGCACACACTGGGGATGGGATATGGGGATACTGGGGCTGGACACACAGTGGGGCCAGGATTTGGGGATGCTGGGGGTGGGACATTGGGATGGGGCATTGGGGATGGGATACTGGGGGTGTGATATGGGGATACTGGCGTGGGACACACATTGGGATGGGAGATGGGGATGGGGCACACACTGGGGATGGGTTATTAGGGGTGGGACACACAGTGGGGTCAGGATATGGGGATGCTGGGGGTGGGATATTGGGGGAGAGACACACACTGGGGATGGAATATGGGGATACTGGCGCTGGACACACAGTGGGGCCAGGATTTGGGGATACTGGGGTGGGACACGCATGGGGGATGGGATATTGGGATGGGGCCTTGGGGATGGGATACTGGGGGTGTGATATGGGGATACTGGGGTGGGACACACATTGGGGTGAGATATGGGGACGGGGCACACACTGGGGATGGGTTATTAGGGGTGGGACACAAACTGGGGTCGGGATATGGGGATGCTGGGGGTGGGACACACATTGGGGGTGGGATATTGGGGGTGGGACAGACAGTGGGGCCAGGATATGGAGATACTGGGGTGGGACACACATAGGGGGTGAGATATGGGGATACACATGGGGGTGGGATACTGGGATGGGGCACTGGGGGTGGGATACTGGGGGTGGGACACACACTGGGGATGGGATATGGGGATACTGGGGTGGGATATTGGGATGGGGCATTGGGGGTGGGATACTGGGGGTGTGATATGGGGATACTGGGGGTGGGACACACATTGGGGGTGGGATATGGGGATGGGACACACACTGGGGATGGGATATTAGGGGTGGGACACACACTGGGGTCAGGATATGGGGATGCTGGGGGTGGGATATTGGGGGAGAGACACACACTGGGGATGGGATATGGGGATACTGGTGCTGGACACACAGTGGGGCCAGGATTTGGGGATGCTGGGGGTGGGACACGCATGGGGGGTGGGATATTGGGATGGGGCCTTGGGGATGGGATACTGGAGGTGTGATATGGGGATACTGGGGGTGGGACACATTGGGGGTGGGATATGGGGATACTGGGGTGGGACATTGGGATGGGGCATTGGGGGTGGGATACTGGGGGTGCGATGTGGGGATACTGGGGGTGGGACACACATTGGGGTGAGATATGGGGATGGGGCACACACTGGGGATGGGATATGGGATATTGGGGCAGGACACACAGTGGGGCCAGGATATGGGGATACTGGGGGTGGGACACGCATTGGGGTGGGATATGGGGATGGGGCACATTGGGGGTGGGATATGGGGGTGGGACACACATGGGGATGGGATATGGGATATTGGGGGTGGGACAGACATTGGGGCCAGGTTTGGGATATTGGGGGTGGGACAGACACTGGGGATGGGATATGGGGATACTGGGGTGGGATATTGGGATGGGGCATTGGGGGTGGGATACTGGGGGTGTGATATGGGGATGCTGGGGGTGGGACACACATTGGGGGTGGGATATGGGGATGGAGCACTGGGGGTAGGATACTGGGGGTGGGACACACACTGGGGACAGGACATAGGGGACGGGGCACACACTGGGGATGGGATATGGGATATTGGGGGTGGGATACTGGGGGTGGGATATGGGGATACTGGGGTGGGACACACATTGGGGGTGGGATATGGGGATGGGGCACATTGGGGATGGGCTATGGGGATATTGGGGCTGGACACACAGTGGGGCCAGGATTTGGGGATACTGGGGTGGGACACGCATGGGGGGTGGGATATGGGGATGGGGCCTTGGGGATGGGATACTGGGGGTGGGACACACACTGGGGGTGGGACACATAGGGGACGGGGCACACACTGGGGGGTGGGATATTGGGGATGGGGCACACATTGGGGTCAGGATATGGGGATACTGGGGTGGGACACACATTGGGGGTGGGATATGGGGATGGGGCACATTGGGGATGGGCTATGGGGATATTGGGGCTGGACACACAGTGGGGCCAGGATATGGGGATATGGGGATGGGGCACGCATGGGGGGTGGGATATGGGGATGGGGCCTTGGGGATGGGATACTGGGGGTGTGATATGGGGATACTGGGGGTGGGACACACATTGGGGGTGGGATATGGGGATGGGGCACACATTGGCAGTGGGATATGGGGTGGGGGTGGGATACTGGGATATGGGGCATTGGGGCAGGACACTGGGGGGCCAGGATTTGGGGATATGGGGGGTGGGACACACATTGGGGGTGGGATATGGGGATGGGGCACACATTGGGGATATGATATGGGGATACTGGGGCAGGACACTCAGTGGGGCCAGGATTTGGGGATGCTGGGGCAGGACACGCAGTGGCAATGGGACACTGGCTGGGCCATTCTGAGAGCAGACCGACCTGAAGATGAGGTAGAGCGGTTTCCCCACCGACTCCTCCAGAGACCTGCGGGACAAAGGCGGCGCTCAGAGCCCCGTGGGCGCTGCCCCAAAGGGGGGGCAGAGCTGTGGGACCCCAGGGCTCGGCCCCAAACGAGGGGAACGGTGCTAAGAGGGCTGGTTTGCGAGCGTGGCACCGAGAGCTCAGGGCAGCCTGAAGGGAGCCCTGGCGCCGTGGCTGTGAGCTGCGCTCCTGTGAGCCCTGCAGAGCTGCTGCTTTCAAGCACGGCTCTCTGCAAACGGAGGAAGTTTCGCTGGGCAAAACCCCGGGGCGAAAGGATGAAAGAGAGAGGGATGAATCCTTACTCCTCTGTGATCTCTTCCGGCAAAACCTCCCCGCGGAAGTGAGCCTTAAAGAGCTCCTGGAGGCAGGAGGCAAGCACTGAGAGCTGCTCGGAGTCAAAGTCCTCCTGGGGGGGGAGAAAGGGAGGATGAGGAGGGGGGGATGCTCGCCCCCTGCGTGGGGATGCAGCAGCGCTGCTGGGAGCGACGCCGAGCTGCTCTGGAGCTGCAAAACTGCAGGGCTGAGCAGCAGCAGGGCCCCCAGCTGCCGTGCGGCGCTGCTGCCATCCTGCCCAGCTCAGCCCTGCAGAGGGCAAAGCGGAGCCCTTTACCTCCAGGACTTGATCCACGATTTCCTGCATGACCTCACACTGAGCTTCCGTATCGCTGGAGCAGAAAAACAAGAGGAAATCCAAGTTAGAAAGGAAGATACTGCGAGAGTCGCAGGGCTTTGCGCTGAGCTGGCTCTGCTTGGGAGCCCCCCAGGCCTTGTTTTGGGGCCAGGAAGGCACAGCAAAGAGCACAGGTGGAGCCCTGGGGGAGCACAGCTACTTCCAGCAGGCCCCGAGCAAGGCCAAACCAACGGAATGACTGAAAGCATCAGATGAAATGCACTTAAAAGCCACGAGCCGTCAATTCGGTTCCAGCAGCCAAGGTCTGAAAAGCAAGAGCTGCTGACAGAGCCTTCCTCAGGTGGCGTGAATTCCAAGGTTGCATCCAAGAGCAGGGATGGGGAACGTGCAGACCCGTGGAACAGGCACAGCATGCACTCACAGCCCCCACCGAGCCCAAAGCCCTTCTGCCTTCCCAGCACCGAGGCAGAAAGCGCTGCTGCGCCCAGGTCTGAACCCGCAGGGCTCTGCTGGCTCCGATTGCAGCAAGCAGGGCTGCATTATGTGAGGTCTTGGCTGCCCCAAAGACGCCGACATGGAACATCACAAACCAACCTCCCCTTCTGCAGCTGCAGCACTTTGTCCTTCAGAGACTCGTCCAGCTGGTCCAGGAACGGCGTGATGTCCACGGGTTCCTCCACGATGGTTTCTTTGATCGGATGAAACCTGAACTCCCTTTTCTTCCCTGCAACCAAGGAAGCGTCCCTGCGATCGCTCAGGGGCACCCAGGACCCCATTGCGGTGTGGGGCCGCGCTGTGGGACGGCGAGGGGTTTCCCAGTGCAGGGTGCAGCCCCCCTGCCTTCACCCCTGCGAGGCGCCTGTGCTCTGGAAGGCGGCCTGGGATGCAGGCGTAGGGATGCACAGAGCTGTGCCCCCGTTCAGCCCAGGCCCAGAGGTGATGCTGTGCCCGGCTCCATGTGCTCACACACACAGCTTCGCTCACTGCCCGCATCCAGGACTTCCCCACTCCCTCTCTCATCTCATTCTGGGTCGTAAGCTTGCAGCACAGCCCAGAAGCCCTCGCAAAGGGGAGCTGCGAGGACGGAACGTGGCAAACGATAGCATCCCCTTTGCAGGAGTCTCTGCACGTGGCCTCCGACCCCGAGCCCCAACAACTGCATGCAGTGACGCCATCCCACACCCCATCCTGGGGCTGCGGACCCCCCCCCCCCCCCCCTGCTGCCTACAGGACAGCAGAAGCCCCCAGAGCCCGACTGCCAGGATCGGGACCTGCTGGCGATGCCTCCTCCAGCCCCAGGGAGCCAGCAGGAGGATTCCAGCCCTGCGCCCCCTGCTCAGCCCCACGGCTTCGAGAGGGGCTCATGGAGCGTAATGAAAAGCGAGCAGTGAGAAGAGTGAGCCTCAGCAGCAGCCGCTGCCTGAGAACAGGGACAGCCTGTTCCCAAAGAACCCAGGGCACAGAACTCTGTGCACTCATCGCACAGAGCCGGGTGCTGGAGCAGAAGGGCATCCAGAGGGGGCTGTGGGGTGGAGAGAGCTTCCCCTGTATTCAGCTCTGGTGAGGCCGCACCTCGAGTGCTGTGTGCAGTTTTGGGCCCCTCACTGCAAGAAAGACATTGAGGGCCTGGAACGCGTTCAAAGGAGGGCAATGAAATGGTGAGGGGTCTGGAGCACAGGGCTGATGAGGAGAGGCTGAAGGAGCTGGGAATGTTCAGCATGGAGAAGAGGAGCTCAGGGGGGACCTCACTGCTCTCTATGGCTGCCTGAAGGGAGGCTGCGGTGAGCTGGGGGTCGGCCTCTGCTCTGGTGCCATCAGTGATAGGAGCAGAGGGAACGGCTTCAAGCCACGGCAGGGGAGATTCAGGCTGGACATGAGGAAGTGTTACTGTTCAGAAAGGTGGGCAGCACTGCAATGGATGCCCAGGGAGGTGGGGGAGGCACCGAGCCTGGGGGTGTCCAAGGAAAGGCTGGATGTGGTGTTGAGGGACGTGGTTCAGTGGGAGCTGATGGGGATGGGGGAACGGTTGGACTGGATGGGCTTTGAGGTCTTTTCCAACCTTGGTGATTCTATGATTCTATGCTGGACGGTGCTGAGCCATGGGGCAGAGCGCCATGCAAGCAGAGGAGGCCAACGACTCTCCTTCGAGTGCAGAGCCCAGGGCTGAGCACCTCCTGCAAAAGGCAACCTGGTTTTTGAGATCCAGGTCTGCTTGGAGCTCAGGAAGCTGCGCTGCTGATGGGGAAAGCTGTTGCTGTGCGGTGCTGGTGGACGCTGCCTGGGGCCGTTCCAGCACTGCTGCTCACGCCCTGCAGTTCTCACCTTTGCTGTTCAGGTCCTCTTCATCATCACTGAAGGCGGCCTCGGCGTTGTCATAGCAACTGTCATCTTTGTCTGACATGTGATTGTCCATCTCCATGGAAACGGGCTCCTCGATTTTGACTGCGGGCACAAAGGCAAAAGGAGTGAAGGCCACACACGGGACGGGGCTGCATAGGGCTGGGGGAGCTGAGGAGCTCCGCAAAGGGCAGAGAGGTTCGGGGTGAGCAACGCCGCTCATCCCGGGGATGGGAGCTCGCGCAGCTCCACGCAGCCATCGCCAGGTGCTGCAGGGTGCGTGGAGCAGCTCGGCCCCACGCGGGGCTGCTGGGGGGGCGGGCTGTGCTGCGATGCTGTGGGGAAAGCAGACGGCCTACAAGGCACCGTCCTTCGGTAGGGCTGGCAAAGAGCAGCGCTCTCTCCGGTCAAACACAGGGTAGAAACGCTTGCTTTTCATTTAACCTAATTAAGGCCGATCGAGGAGGGCAGAGACAGGAGGGGAAGCACCTCCCGTGGAGCAGAGGGAGGACGAGGCTGAGATGAGGGCAGATCATGGGCATAAAGCTCTCCTTGGAGCCCCACTCTGAGCTCAGAGCTCTGGCACAGCACCGTTGCGGCCCCCCCTGCTCCCCACCTCCTCGTTACCTTCGATGGGGGGCGAGGGGGAGCTGCAGAACTCTGGGAACTTCTCCCTCAGCATGGCTCGGAGCTCCTTGTCCAGCTTGGGGTTGTCAAAGAGAGGAGCCAGGTGGCTGTGGAAGGAAGGCGATGAAGAAGAACCGGGACGCAGCCCCTGCTTCCCTGCGGAGCCGAAGCCCCACAAGGGCAAAGCCCACCGGAGCCCCCCCCCCTAAAAACCCCTGGCGGCCCTTGGGTTCGCCCTCCTGCTCCCGTCAGGTTTGCTAAGAGCAAAGAGCCGGGCAGGTTGGCGCTCACGCAGCAGAACCCAGCGATGCCTTACGCGAGGACGCGCTTCTCCACGATGTGGGTGAGGGAGTTGAAGACCCCCTGGCGAACGTGAGCTTCCAGAGGGGGGTAAAAATTGGGAATGATCTGAAAGGCAGAAAACACGACGGCATCAGTGCCTTCCAGGACACAGCCGGCTGCGGCTGCGGCTTCCCAGTGAGGCTGCGGCTACCGGCTGGGTTCTGAGCACCCGACGGAGCTGTGGGTGCCCCCGTTTGCTGCAGGGGAGCTGCAGGAGATTGGTTTTAAAGGTCTTTTCCAACCCCAAGTGCTCTGCGCTGCTCTGGATTGAGAGGGGGGGCAGAGCTGAGAGCAGCAGCTCGGGAGAAGGAGCGGCCCGTGCTCGGTTCCCTGCCCTGCAGAGCAGCCTGGGCAGCTCCCAGGGGTGAGAAAACCACACAGGGGCTGCAAAAGGCCCCGGAGGCAGAGCTGTGCTCCAAGCAGCAGCTGCAGGACAGGGGGAATAAGAGATGGGAGCGTGGGGCAACGTTCTGCTCCGTCCAGCTCTGCGCTTCTGGAGGGAAGAAAACAAACTGCCCGAAATGAGGCTCAGCCCGAGAACCTTCCACCCAGATCCTGAGTCAGCTGCTGCTGCTGGACGCTCACAGCTCTGCGGTTCTGCTTCCAAGAAACCCATCAGCTCTCCCTGGGCCGCAATGAGCAGAAGCAGCCCTTGGGGGGGCACAGCCCCACGTCCTGCCCGAGGACGAAGGGAGGATGAAAGGACGGCTTGGGCTGGGGAACATCGAATCCAGATTGTGTTCACCCCCGGGGGACGACGCCGGGCCAAACACTGCATTGGGCATTGCTACAGGGGAACGATTCAGAAGCCTTTTTCCTAATTCTCATCCTTCTGGAAGGGTCGATTCGCAGAGCTGGGAAGTTTTTACGTGCGTTCCCTCTAATGAAGGACACGTGGGCCCAAACTTGGTGCTCCGGAAGCAGCCCTGGAGCAGCAGCCGTGCTGCTTGGTGCTTTGTGCCGCACTGGTGGTGCCTGCAGGGGGAGGCTGTGCAGCTCTGGGGGTGGCACCCAGCAGAAGGTGAGGAGGGGATGCGGCTGCAGCCCCTAAAAGGAGCTGCATGGAGGGAGCAGCTCACCCGGCACATGAAATCCAGCAGCGTGGCGGTGATGGCAGGGTGAGGCTTCATGGAGTGATGCATCACAAGGATGGCAGGCTCTGGTGGGAGAAAGCAGGGAGCACGGTGCTGAGAGCCCCACGGATGCCCGCAGCCCCCTCTTTGCTGCCCTGTAAGTGCAGAGGGGACTTCTGGCTCCTCGTGGCTCTCATCCGGCTCCTAAATAACAACCAGACTTCAGGCAGCCAAACTGAGCTCCTGCTGACCCCAGCAGCCAAACTGGGCTCCTGCTGACCCCAGCAGGCCCATCAGAGCAGCCCCCCACGGGCTGGAGAACCCATGGAAGGAGACTGATGCTCTCTGGAGATGAAGTGTTGGGCCTTCCCCCCTCCTGACCCCACGGCCTCTGCCAGCTCCGAAAGCCATCAGCCCCTTTTCCGACCCTCGCAGTACCTATGTTCATGATGCTGTCCTTCTCAGGGTTGAAGAAGAGCCAATCGTAGAACAGAGCCAGTTTGGCATTGGAAGCAGCAACGTTGGACTGGAGAAGGAAGAAAAACCAAACAGATCAAGATTTGATTCGTGGGGGAGCTTTGAGACCAGGTGGGGGAAATTCCTGAGCAGAAGAGAAGGGGCCTCCTGCTCCTGCATGGACCTCAGAGGCATCCGAGCACGTAAAGCAAAAGCAAAGGGCGTGATAAGATGGGAGATGGAGCTGGGAAAGCTGATCCCAAAGGATCAAATGCTTGGCAGGGCCAAAGCTGGGATGCAGAGCATGGAACAGCCTGCTGCCATCGCTGCTCTGCAGCTCCTGACCCTCAAATTCACAGCGGCAGGAGGTCAACCCCCAAGGCAGGGATGAGTGAAGGGGCCTCCTGCTCCTGCATGGACCTCAGAGGCATCCGAGCACGTAAAGCAAAAGCAAAGGGTGTGATAAGATGAAGGTGGAGCTGGGAAAGCTGATCCTAAAGGATCAAATGTGTGGCAGGGCCAAAGCTGGGACGCAGAGCATGCAACAGCCTGCTGTCATCACTGCCCTGCAGCTTCTGATCGCTGCCCTGCAGCTCCTGAGCCCCAAAACTCACAGTGGCAGGAGGTCAACCCTCAAGGCAGGGACGAGTGAAGGGGCCTCCTGCTCCTGCATGGACCTCAGAGGCATCTGAGCACGTAAAGCAAAAGCAAAGGGTGTGATAAGATGGAAGGTGGAGCTGGGAAAGCTGATCCCAAAGGATCAAATGCTTGGCAGGGCCAAAGCTGGGATGCAGAGCATGCAACAGCCTGCTGTCATCGCTGCCCTGCAGCTCCTGACCCTCAAATTCACAGTGGCAGGAGGTCAACCCCCAAGGCAGGGATGAGTGAAGGGGCCTCCTGCTCCTGCATGGACCTCAGAGGCATCTGAGCACGTAAAGCAAAAGCAAAGGGTGTGATAAGATGGACAACCTGTGCGACCTGCTGTAGGGAAGCTGCTTTGGCAGGGGGTTGGACACAAGGAGCTCTGGAGGTCCCTTCCAACCCCTACAACTCTGTGATCCTGTGAAGGTGGAGCTGGGAAAGCTGATCCCAAAGGATCAAATGTGTGGCAGGGCCAAAGCTGGGATGCAGAGCATGGAACAGCGCGATGCCATCGCTGCCCTGCAGCTCCTGAGCCCCAAAACTCATAGTGGCAGGAGGTCAACCCCCAAGGCAGGGACGAGTGAAGGGGCCTCCTGCTCCTGCACAGACCTCAGAGGCATCTGAGCACGTAAAGCAAAAGCAAAGGGTGTGATAAGATGAAGGTGGAGCTGGGAAAGCTGATCCCAAAGGATCAAATGTGTGGCAGGGCCAAAGCTGGGATGCAGAGCATGGAACAGCGTGATGCCATCGCTGCTCTGCAGCTCCTGACCCCCAAAACTCATAGTGGCAGGAGGTCAACCCCCAAGGCAGGGATGAGAGAAGGGGCCTCCTGCTCCTGCATGGACCTCAGAGGCATCTGAGCACGTAAAGCAAAAGCAAAGGGTGTGATAAGATGGACAACCTGTGCGACCTGCTGTAGGGAAGCTGCTTTGGCAGGGGGTTGGACACAAGGAGCTCTGGAGGTCCCTTCCAACCCCTACAACTCTGTGATCCTGTGAAGGTGGAGCTGAGAAAGCTGATCCCAAAGGATCAAATGTGTGGCAGGGCCAAAGCTGGGATGCAGAGCATGGAACAGCCTGCTGTCATCGCTGCCCTGCAGCTCCTGAGCCCCAAACTCACAGCGGCAGGAGGTCAACCCCCAAGGCAGGGATGAGTGAAGGGGCCTCCTGCTCCTGCACAGACCTCAGAGGCATCTGAGCACATAAAGCGAAAGCAAAGGGCGTGATAAGATGGAAGGTGGAGCTGGGAAAGCTGATCCCAAAGGATCAAATGTGTGGCAGGGCCAAAGCTGGGATGCAGAGCATGGAACAGCCTGCTGTCATCACTGCCCTGCAGCTTCTGATCGCTGCCCTGCAGCTCCTGACCCCCAAACTCACAGCGACAGGAGGTCAACCCCCAAGGCAGGGGATGGGATCCCACGGCTCTCGGCTCACCAGGACCTTGGGGATCACAGATGCGGGGCTGTGAGGGCAGCGGGAGCAGCCAGGGCCGTCAGAACTCACCGTGCAGGTGGTGAGCAGCCAGCCGATGATGGCCCAGCGAGGCAGGATGTCGGAGCTGAGCACCTCGTTGGACGGGTGCACCACGCCGCAGATGTAACGGATGAGGTCGCAGCGCAGGGACTGGCTGTCGGGGGTGGACAGGTATTGCCTCTGGAACCAGTCCTGGTACCGCTTCTGCTGCCCGAACCGCACCTGAAGGGGAAAGGCAAAACGTGGGTTGCGCTGTGGGGATGCTGAAAGCTCCTGCAGGCTTTAGGAGGGACCACCCGGCCTGCAAGCAGCGCTCAGCCTGGCCGGGGGGGAGCAGACGGGGTGGATCTGCGTGGCTGGAAGCACAGATAAGAGCCGCGTGCTGTCAGCGAGCAGCTCTGGGCCTCACGCACAGCACCGCTGCTGTCAGAGCTCTGATAACCCACCGCAGAGCGGCCTTTCGGCCTCGCAGAGCAGCCAGAGCTCCCTGCAGCCCACCCTGCGCCAGCACCCGGCTGCGCTCGGGGTGCCCCCCGTCCCCAGGCGGGGGGGTGGGCGAAGGCTCTGCTCACCCTCGAGGTCATGAAGAGCAGTTTGGTCTCCATGTCGGGGGTGAGGCGGCACGCCAGGAATTTGCGCGAGGTCCTGGACTGGAGGAGCTGTAGGACACCTGCAGGGAGATGGACGGGGTTACAGGGTGCGCAGCCCAGGCAGGGATGCACCCAGGGGGGAGCTCAGCTCAGAGCGTTTCCTTCTTCAACGGCCAAAGGCGCTGGGACTGGAGAGAGAGGGTGATTTTGGCTGGGAACGGCCCTGCTGGAACAAGCCTTGTCCAGAGAAAGCTTTGTCACAGAGCAGCAGTGAGAAAGGAGGGGGGTGGGGGGGACCTGCAGCACAGCAGAACGGGATCTGGAGGAGGGATGAAGGAATGCAGAGCCTCAACACGGAGCATTCCTCATCCGACCCATAGGGAGGCAGCACAGCGATGCCTCTCCCCCTCTCCAACCCCCCCCCTGCTGATCCCTTCTGCTGCTCGCAGGGCTTCAGGTGCAGCACTCAGCAGGGCTGGAGGACTCACAGAATCCTCCAGGCTCTGCAGCAACGAACCCCCGGGGTGAAGGCAACCCTGCTGCAACGCTCGGATGTGGAAAAAGCCTCACGTGCATGGAGAAGAGGCAGGGGAAGCAGGAGGGGAGATTGCAAAAGCCGCTTTCGTTCCCAAACAGCTGCGAGAGGAGAAATTTATGGCTTGAGTTTGGAGGCTGTGCTGCTGCTGGATGGGACCTGAAGGATTTACAGCAGGCTGCTCCATGCAGACAGGCGGGCGCCGGAGCTGTGCAGCGCTCAGCCTGCTCACAGCTCACGTTGCTGGGCTGCAGGGGGGAACTGCAGAGCGCAGCAGAGCCGGGGGGAAAGGGTGAAAGAGCTGCAGAACGGCTCCTCGGGTCGGCTGTGTGTGCTGCCAGGCAAAGAGGTGGCAAATACAAACCATGGGATCGAGGGAACGAAGGCCAAAGACAGCAGGGAAGGCAGGAGCTGGGGCACCGATCTCAGCCCCCGCTCAGTGTGGTGCTGTGGGGCCACTGGGCTCCAAGTGCAGCAAAGCAGGGAGCCGTCGGCTGCCCCTGCTGACGTGGGAAGGGACACAAAGCAGCAGGGATGCCCATAAGGTGCCCCATAAAACAGGCAGGATGCTGGGAAGATCCAGAGGTGAGAAAAGCCAGCACTGGGGCTGAGCCCCTGCGAGCCCCCATGAGACCCCAGAAAGGGGAATGCTGTCCCTGCGGCCTGCAGCCAGCAGGGCAGTCAATGAGAACCGACAGGAGGGATTCTGGAGATGGAAGAGCAGCCAAAGAGCTGCAGGGAGGAGCATTTAATCAGCAGACAACGCTGCCCCTTCCCCTGGGCACAATCTGTGGTCTTTAACGTGGCCTTAACGCGGCCCCAGAGAGCAGAGCAGGCGCTGGGGTTGGGGGGGGGGGAACCACTTTAAGGCCCCGCATCTGAGGGCTCACTGCAGATAATGATGCGGCAGCCCTGAGAGAAGTTAATAATTCATAGCAGTGAGACCCATCAATAAAACACTCCTCTGCCACATCCACCCCAACCCAGGCAGCGCAGGGCGAGCCGAGCGTTTGGGTGGAAAGCTGCTGAGATGAAGGGGATCCCATCCACAAAGAGCCAACAGCTGCACCCCCCGCGTTTGTGCTTCGGTGCCACTGGGGTTCCTCGGGGCTCAGGTTGGAGAGAAACTCGGACGTCACCCATCTTTGTGCTCCTGCTCATCTCAGCTCATAAAGCAGCTGATAGAAACGCAAAGTGAAACGTTCAACCACGCGATCCCGTCTCGCAGGCTGTGCTCTCACTCTCTCTGCCTGCTCAGCTGTCTGAATTGTCCTCTTTTCGGCACGGCTCGGAACCCAAACGCCTCTTAGGAGGCTTCTGCAGCATTTAAGACAGTGGCAGAAGCCGTGCAGTGCCAGAGCAGAGCGGCTCTTGCTCAGCCCCAGCCCTGGGGGATCCTCCTTCCCCCTGGCAATGGGTTCTGCAAGCAGCCACGTGGGCCTCAGCACCAACGGAGGTGGAAGCAGACGGCGTCGTTACGGCTCTCTGCGCACAGCAGCCCCAGCTTTGGGGCCAGGATCAGTGGGGCAGGATGGGCTCGGCCCCCCCCCAGGGCACAGCCCTACCCACCTGTGAACTGCGTGCTGAGCACCTGTGGGTTGTGGATGATGTCCTTCCAGAGCTGCTCGAACTCAGGGATCCTGGCCACGTTCTGCAGGAGCCGCACGAGGTCGCGGCCGATCATGAAGCAATCCATGAACTGTAGGAAAGGGGAGGAAAGGAGAGGAAAAAACATCACATCGAGTGCTCACCTGATGTAGGGGGGGGGGGGGAGAGGAACACGCAGTCCTTCGGGCTGAGATGATTCATCCTGTGCACAACACGTCCACCCCTACCCTGGCACAGCGCCCCTCTTTGAAGCCCGCAGGTTGGGAGAAGGCAGGCTGACAGGCGGGAAGGTCAGCAGCTATTTTAAAACGTTCCCTCTCTTGCAAAGCAAACAATCAGCCCCATAAATCTGACATTTTCTCTCCAGGATCTCAGCCAGTCTCTGAAGCTGGGGGTTGTGACACGGGTCCCTCTCGACCCGGAGGGAGGAAGGGAAGGCGGGCAGCGAAGGATGGGGCGAGGACACGGAACGGGAGCGCGGCCTCGGCGGGGATGAACCACGAGCTGCCTGCGTGCTGCAGGGACCCAAAGGAAGCAGCGCGGCCTCCGCCAGCGCCGCTGGAGGAACACAGGGTGCAGATGGAGGGCCCTGCTCTGCTCACCCGTTCCCGGAGGAGGGAGATGCAAAAATCCACCTCCTTCTGACGCAGCGCCTGCAGCGGCGCCGTGCCGTGATGGTCCACGATGAGCCGCAGGTAGGTGTACACAGCCATGGCTATCAGGATGCTGCTCTTCAGTACCCATTCCCTGCAGAGGAAGTGCAACAAAAAAGAACAAACACAACAGAAACGCCCCATTTTCAGCCACGGCTCAGAGAACATCGCAATAAGAAGGGCCAGAAGAAACCGAGCCTGGAGGAGAGGGGCAGCGCGGGGCCACGCTCCCATCGCGCCCCCCTTTGCATCCCCAGGGCCTCTGCCATGGCAGTCAGAGCACTCAGAACAGCCAGCTCAGGAGCAAACACGGGCAGCAGCTCTGCAAACAGCTTGGCCTCAACGCACAGCCTGCCACGAGAGCAGCTTTGCCCATCAGCACAGCGAGGCCGGACCCCCTCCTCTCCTATGGAGGTGCTGCTGCCCCACACTGCAACCAGAAGGCAGCCAGAGGGGCAGGAGGCAAAGCACAGCCGGATGGCAAAGGCAGGAGGGTAGAATGGGGGGAAAGAGCCACCCTGGGGGTCAGAACTGCAAGACGGAGGGGGATCCATCAGAGGGACCTGGCCCAGCCTGCGCCACGCTCTGCTTTTCCACCCAGGAGGGCACTGAGGCTGCATTTGTTTCTCAGCCGCCCCGCTGGGTGTGCCGCCTTCTCTGCTCTCCCCTTATCTGCCTGCAACAATAAATCCTCTCCCGTCCATAAAACCGACCCAGTCAGCCTGGCTGTTTGGCGCCGGGTGCCAGGAACGGGCCAGGCCGGCGCGCTGCCTCCGCTGATTGATGGCCCTCGGCATCTCCCTAAATCACAGCCTGCCCCAACGCTGCTGCCGCCACCTGAAGAGCCACGGCCTGGATGGGGACAAACGGCTCAGCAGCCCTAAATCACCAGGGGGGGGGGACCTGGGAAAGCTCCTGGCTGGGTGCTGGCAGCTGTTAATTAGCGAGCAGGGCACCGCGCAAAGGTTACGGCCAGGGAGGATGCGGCAGTAATTAAGAGATGGGGTCAGCACTCGGCTTCTCCCACTGTGCAGAAAATGAATAAATGCTGTCTAAAAGGATGGGGGGGGGCTGCCCACACCTCCAGGACCCATTGGTTTGAAGGCAGAAAAACGCAGGGCCTGCGGAAGCGCTGCCATCAGCAGCCGTGGGGCTGAGGAGAGGCGGCTTCGTTGGTCCCGGTTTTAATTAAAGCAAGCACTCAACGCTCCGAATGCGGAATCGGACCTGCGCCCGTGCGGCTTTAATTAAAGCCCTGGTTCTCCTCCTAATCAAAGCGCAGCAATCCCAGCACAGAGCTGCAGGCTGCGCCTCGGGCTCCTTCCCAACCCTCAGCTCCTTGTGCTGCTTCTGAGCCGCCGCACCGACGCTCAGCAGCGCCTTCAGCAGCAGCCAAAGCTTCTCCTCTCCCATCTGCTCCTCTGAGCAACCCCTCCAGCAGCCACGCTCCGATTCCCCTCAGCTCTCCTGCGGAGCTGAAGGCAGATGTGGCAGGAGCTGCTCCTCCTCTCCTGCGCTCAGGATGGCTGCTGGCTTGCAATGGAAGAGCTGCACGGCGCTCGGGGTGGAGATGCTCCACGCGGAGGGGAGGCTGCATGCAAAGGGCAGGCGGGCAGCAATGCAGGGCGAGCAGCTCGGATGGGAGCAGGAGCTGAGCTCGGTGCAGAGGGAGAGCAGAACTGCTCACGAAGAGCAGAAACGGGACGAGCCCAGGAGAGAGCGGGGGGTTTCTCCCTCTCCGAGAGTCTCCACGGCGCTGCCTCCGGCACACAGAGGCAGTAGGTGGCACTCACTGCTGTCCCCAGGGCCAAATAAACGCTTTCACCACCCCATAGTTCACCGCAGCAATAAGAGAATCGTTGCTATTACGGACAGCCAACGGTGAAAAGCTCTTTAAAGCTATTTAAAAGTAAAGACCTGCCCAGCAGGGGCAGCAGCTTGTCGCCAATTAGCGTCCTTTGTTGGCAAAGCGGCCAATGCTGAGCCCAGGGGGGGGACGGAGCTGAGCCCAGGGGGGGGACGGGGCTGAGCCCAGGGGGGGGATGGAGCTGAGCCTACGGGGGGACGGGGCTGAGCCCAGGGGGGGAACGGGGGGACGGAGCTGAGCCTGGGGGGGGGGGGACGGGGCTGAGCCCGGGGAACAATGCTGAGCCCACGGGGGACGGAGCTGAGCCCACTTGGGGGGACGGGGCTGAGCCCAGGGGGGGATGGAGCTGAGCCCAGGGGGGGGGACGGAGCTGAGCCCAGGGAACAATGCTGAGCCCACGGGGGGACGGAGCTGAGCCCGGGGGGGGACGGAGCTGAGCCCAGGGGGGGGACGGAGCTGAGCCCATGGAGGGGGGGATGGAGCTGAGCCCACGGGGGGGACGGGGCTGAGCCCAGGGGGGGGACGAGGCTGAGCCCAGGGGGGGGACGGGGCTGAGCCCACGGGGGGGGGGACGGGGCTGAGCCCATGGGGGGGACGGGGCTGAGCCCATGGGGGGGGACGGGGCGGAGCCCACGGGGGGGGGACGGGGCTGAGCCCATGGGGGGGACGGGGCTGAGCCCACGGGGGGGGGACGGGGCTGAGCCCATGGGGGGGGGACGGGGCGGAGCCCACGGGGGGGGGACGGGGCTGAGCCCATGGGGGGGACGGGGCTGAGCCCACGGGGGGACGGGGCTGAGCCCAGGGGGGGACGGGGCTGAGCCCAGGGGGGGGGGACGGAGCTGAGCCCAGGGGGGGGACGGAGCTGAGCCCAGGGGGGGACGGGGCTGAGCCCAGGGGGGGGGGGACGGGGCTGAGCCCACGGGGGGACGGAGCTGAGCCCAGGGGGGGACGGGGCTGAGCCCAGGGGGGGACGGGGCTGAGCCCACTTGGGGGGTCGGAGCTGAGCCCAGGGAACAATGCTGAGCCCACGGGGGCCGGAGCTGAGCCCAGGGGGGGGGACGGAGCTGAGCCCAGGGGGGGGGGACGGAGCTGAGCCCAGGGGGGGACGGGGCTGAGCCCACGGGGGGGACGGAGCTGAGCCCAGGGGGGGACGGAGCTGAGCCCAGGGGGGGACGGGGCTGAGCCCACGGGGGGACGGGGCTGAGCCCAGGGGGGGACGGGGCTGAGCCCAGGGGGGGGGACGGGGCTGAGCCCATGGGGGGGGGACGGGGCTGAGCCCACGGGGGGACGGAGCTGAGCCCAGGGGGGGACGGGGCTGAGCCCAGGGGGGGGACGGGGCTGAGCCCAGGGGGGGGACGGGGCTGAGCCCACTTGGGGGGTCGGAGCTGAGCCCAGGGGGGGGGACGGAGCTGAGCCCAGGGGGGGGGGACGGAGCTGAGCCCAGGGGGGGGACGGAGCTGAGCCCACGGGGGGGACGGGGCTGAGCCCAGGGGGGGGACGGAGCTGAGTCCATGGGGGGGACGGAGCTGAGCCTAGGGGGGGACGGAGCTGAGCCTAGGGGGGGACGGAGCTGAGTCCATGGGGGGGACGGAGCTGAGCCCATGGAGGGGGGATGGAGCTGAGCCCACGGGGGGGACGGGGCTGAGCCCAGGGGGGGGACGGGGCTGAGCCCAGGGAGGGGGGATGGAGCTGAGCCCACGGGGGGGACGGGGCTGAGCCCAGGGGGGGGGACGGAGCTGAGCCCAGGGAACAATGCTGAGCCCACAGGGGGACGGAGCTGAGCCCAGGGGGGGACGGGGCTGAGCCCACGGGGGGGACGGAGCTGAGCCCAGGGGGGGACGGAGCTGAGCCCAGGGGGGGACGGGGCTGAGCCCACGGGGGGGACGGGGCTGAGCCCAGGGGGGGACGGGGCTGAGCCCACGGGGGGACGGGGCTGAGCCCAGGGGGGGGACGGGGCTGAGCCCAGGGGGGGGGACGGAGCTGAGCCCAGGGGGGGACGGGGCTGAGCCCAGGGGGGGGGACGGGGCTGAGCCCACGGGGGGACGGAGCTGAGCCCAGGGGGGGACGGGGCTGAGCCCAGGGGGGGGACGGGGCTGAGCCCAGGGGGGGACGGGGCTGAGCCCACTTGGGGGGTCGGAGCTGAGCCCAGGGAACAATGCTGAGCCCACGGGGGCCGGAGCTGAGCCCAGGGGGGGGGACGGAGCTGAGCCCAGGGGGGGGGGGACGGAGCTGAGCCCAGGGGGGGGACGGAGCTGAGCCCAGGGGGGGGACGGGGCTGAGCCCAGGGGGGGGACGGAGCTGAGCCCAGGGAGGGGGGATGGAGCTGAGCCCACGGGGGGGACGGAGCTGAGCCCAGGGGGGGACGGAGCTGAGCCCAGGGGGGGACGGGGCTGAGCCCACGGGGGGGACGGGGCTGAGCCCAGGGGGGGACGGGGCTGAGCCCAGGGGGGGGGACGGAGCTGAGCCCAGGGGGGGACGGGGCTGAGCCCAGGGGGGGGACGGGGCTGAGCCCACGGGGGGACGGAGCTGAGCCCAGGGGGGGACGGGGCTGAGCCCAGGGGGGGGGACGGGGCTGAGCCCAGGGGGGGACGGGGCTGAGCCCACTTGGGGGGTCGGAGCTGAGCCCAGGGAACAATGCTGAGCCCACGGGGGCCGGAGCTGAGCCCAGGGGGGGGGACGGAGCTGAGCCCAGGGGGGGGGGACGGAGCTGAGCCCAGGGGGGGGACGGAGCTGAGCCCACGGGGGGGACGGGGCTGAGCCCAGGGGGGGGACGGAGCTGAGCCCAGGGAGGGGGGATGGAGCTGAGCCCACGGGGGGGACGGAGCTGAGTCCATGGGGGGGACGGAGCTGAGCCCGGGGGGGGACGGGGCTGAGTCCATGGGGGGGACGGAGCTGAGCCCGGGGGGGGACGGGGCTGAGCCCAGGGAACAATGCTGAGCCCACAGGGGGACGGAGCTGAGCCCAGGGGGGGGACGGAGCTGAGCCCAGGGAACAATGCTGAGCCCACAGGGGGACGGAGCTGAGCCCACGGGGGGGACGGGGCTGAGCCCACGGGGGGGACGGAGCTGAGCCCAGGGGGGGACGGGGCTGAGCCCAGGGGGGGACGGGGCTGAGCCCACGGGGGGGACGGGGCTGAGCCCAGGGGGGGACGGGGCTGAGCCCACGGGGGGACGGGGCTGAGCCCACGGGGGGGACGGGGCTGAGCCCAGGGGGGGACGGGGCTGAGCCCACGGGGGGACGGGGCTGAGCCCAGGGGGGGACGGGGCTGAGCCCAGGGGGGGACGGGGCTGAGCCCAGGGGGGGGGGACGGGGCTGAGCCCATGGGGGGGGGGACGGGGCTGAGCCCACGGGGGGACGGAGCTGAGCCCAGGGGGGGACGGGGCTGAGCCCAGGGGGGGGGACGGGGCTGAGCCCAGGGGGGGACGGGGCTGAGCCCACTTGGGGGGTCGGAGCTGAGCCCAGGGAACAATGCTGAGCCCACGGGGGCTGGAGCTGAGCCCAGGGGGGGGGACGGAGCTGAGCCCAGGGGGGGGACGGAGCTGAGCCAACGGGGGGGACGGAGCTGAGTCCATGGGGGGGACGGAGCTGAGCCCAGGGGGGGGACGGAGCTGAGTCCATGGGGGGGACGGAGCTGAGCCCAGGGGGGGGACGGGGCTGAGCCCAGGGGGGGGGATGGAGCTGAGCCCAGGGAACAATGCTGAGCCCACAGGGGGACGGAGCTGAGCCCAGGGGGGGACGGGGCTGAGCCCACGGGGGGGACGGAGCTGAGCCCAGGGGGGGACGGAGCTGAGCCCAGGGGGGGACGGGGCTGAGCCCACGGGGGGGACGGGGCTGAGCCCAGGGGGGGACGGGGCTGAGCCCAGGGGGGGACGGGGCTGAGCCCAGGGGGGGACGGGGCTGAGCCCAGGGGGGGGGACGGAGCTGAGCCCAGGGGGGGGACGGAGCTGAGCCCAGGGGGGGACGGGGCTGAGCCCAGGGGGGGGGGACGGAGCTGAGCCCAGGGGGGGGACGGAGCTGAGCCCACGGGGGGGACGGGGCTGAGCCCAGGGGGGGGACGGAGCTGAGCCCACGGGGGGGACGGAGCTGAGCCTAGGGGGGGACGGAGCTGAGTCCATGGGGGGGACGGAGCTGAGCCCATGGAGGGGGGATGGAGCTGAGCCCACGGGGGGGACGGGGCTGAGCCCAGGGGGGGGACGGGGCTGAGCCCAGGGAGGGGGGATGGAGCTGAGCCTACGGGGGGACGGAGCTGAGCCCAGGGGGGGGGACGGAGCTGAGTCCATGGGGGGGACGGAGCTGAGCCCGGGGGGGGACGGGGCTGAGCCCAGGGAACAATGCTGAGCCCACAGGGGGACGGAGCTGAGCCCAGGGGGGGACGGGGCTGAGCCCAGGGGGGGGACGGGGCTGAGCCCACGGGGGGGACGGAGCTGAGCCCAGGGGGGGACGGAGCTGAGCCCAGGGGGGGACGGGGCTGAGCCCACGGGGGGGACGGGGCTGAGCCCAGGGGGGGACGGGGCTGAGCCCACGGGGGGACGGGGCTGAGCCCAGGGGGGGGGGACGGAGCTGAGCCCAGGGGGGGACGGGGCTGAGCCCAGGGGGGGGGGACGGGGCTGAGCCCATGGGGGGGGGGACGGGGCTGAGCCCACGGGGGGACGGAGCTGAGCCCACGGGGGGGACGGGGCTGAGCCCAGGGGGGGGACGGGGCTGAGCCCAGGGGGGGACGGGGCTGAGCCCACTTGGGGGGTCGGAGCTGAGCCCAGGGAACAATGCTGAGCCCACGGGGGCTGGAGCTGAGCCCAGGGGGGGGGACGGAGCTGAGCCCAGGGGGGGGACGGAGCTGAGCCAACGGGGGGGACGGAGCTGAGTCCATGGGGGGGACGGAGCTGAGCCCAGGGGGGGGACGGAGCTGAGTCCATGGGGGGGACGGAGCTGAGCCCAGGGGGGGGACGGGGCTGAGCCCAGGGGGGGGGATGGAGCTGAGCCCAGGGAACAATGCTGAGCCCACAGGGGGACGGAGCTGAGCCCAGGGGGGGACGGGGCTGAGCCCACGGGGGGGACGGAGCTGAGCCCAGGGGGGGACGGAGCTGAGCCCAGGGGGGGACGGGGCTGAGCCCACGGGGGGGACGGGGCTGAGCCCAGGGGGGGACGGGGCTGAGCCCAGGGGGGGACGGGGCTGAGCCCAGGGGGGGACGGGGCTGAGCCCAGGGGGGGGGACGGAGCTGAGCCCAGGGGGGGGACGGGGCTGAGCCCAGGGGGGGGGGACGGAGCTGAGCCCAGGGGGGGGACGGAGCTGAGCCCACGGGGGGGACGGGGCTGAGCCCAGGGGGGGGACGGAGCTGAGCCCACGGGGGGGACGGAGCTGAGCCTAGGGGGGGACGGAGCTGAGTCCATGGGGGGGACGGAGCTGAGCCCATGGAGGGGGGATGGAGCTGAGCCCACGGGGGGGACGGGGCTGAGCCCAGGGGGGGGACGGGGCTGAGCCCAGGGAGGGGGGATGGAGCTGAGCCTACGGGGGGACGGAGCTGAGCCCAGGGGGGGGGACGGAGCTGAGTCCATGGGGGGGACGGGGCTGAGCCCAGGGGGGGACGGGGCTGAGCCCACGGGGGGACGGGGCTGAGCCCAGGGGGGGGGACGGAGCTGAGCCCAGGGGGGGGACGGAGCTGAGCCCAGGGGGGGACGGGGCTGAGCCCAGGGGGGGGGGACGGGGCTGAGCCCATGGGGGGGGGACGGGGCTGAGTCCATGGGGGGGACGGAGCTGAGCCCGGGGGGGGACGGGGCTGAGCCCAGGGAACAATGCTGAGCCCACAGGGGGACGGAGCTGAGCCCAGGGGGGGACGGGGCTGAGCCCAGGGGGGGACGGGGCTGAGCCCACGGGGGGGACGGGGCTGAGCCCAGGGGGGGACGGGGCTGAGCCCACGGGGGGACGGGGCTGAGCCCAGGGGGGGGGACGGAGCTGAGCCCAGGGGGGGGACGGAGCTGAGCCCAGGGGGGGACGGGGCTGAGCCCAGGGGGGGGGACGGGGCTGAGCCCATGGGGGGGGGACGGGGCTGAGCCCACGGGGGGACGGAGCTGAGCCCACGGGGGGGACGGGGCTGAGCCCAGGGGGGGGGACGGGGCTGAGCCCAGGGGGGGACGGGGCTGAGCCCACTTGGGGGGTCGGAGCTGAGCCCAGGGAACAATGCTGAGCCCACGGGGGCCGGAGCTGAGCCCAGGGGGGGGGACGGAGCTGAGCCCAGGGGGGGGGGACGGAGCTGAGCCCAGGGGGGGGGGGACGGAGCTGAGCCCACGGGGGGGACGGGGCTGAGCCCAGGGGGGGGACGGAGCTGAGTCCATGGGGGGGACGGAGCTGAGCCCAGGGGGGGGACGGGGCTGAGCCCAGGGGGGGGGATGGAGCTGAGCCCAGGGAACAATGCTGAGCCCACAGGGGGACGGAGCTGAGCCCAGGGGGGGGACGGAGCTGAGTCCATGGGGGGGACGGGGCTGAGCCCACGGGGGGACGGAGCTGAGCCCAGGGAACAATGCTGAGCCCACGGGGGGACGGAGCTGAGCCCAGGGGGGGACGGAGCTGAGCCCACAGGGTACCGTGCTTCCCAGCTGGCCTGCCCCCAACAAATCGAAGTTGCAGCCCCAGCGAGGCTGAAGCTGTTTACACACAGGAAGCTTTTTGGGCAATTAACTCAGTCCTACTCCCCCCTGAAAAGGAACACCTCCCCCGCAGGCTGGGGAAGCTCAGGAGGAAAATAATTCGTGGGCTCAGCTCGGAGCCACGCGCGCACCGTCAGCGCAGGGCAGCTTCACCCTCGTGCAACGCAGCCCCTGAGGTTGGCTGGTTAATGGAAAGAGGAGAATCCCACTGCAAGAGGGCTTGGAGAGCTAGAAATGCCCAGCACAGCCTGCAAACACAGCTGGGGACATGGGGGCACAGAGGGATTCTGCATAGGAAACCCCGTTGGCAGGCTGCTGTTTGCACCACCACTGCAGACGTTGGCCTGGTGCTGCCATCCTGCACTCAGCGCTGCAGGAAAGCTCCCGCCTGCCCCGTCCCAGCTTTACCTCTGCTCCGTCAGGATCTCCAGGACGTTCTCTGCCAGCCAGATGTTCTTTGCTGTCACATCCCCCCCTGCGAAAGGAAAAGGATGACAGGAGAGCGAAGCCCCTTTAGGTCAAAGCGCCCTGCAGTCAGAGCTGAGCGAGGAATCTGCCTGGCCCCAAACGCCCAGAGGTGGGAGCGCAGCACAGCAGCTGCCGGGAGGGGATCAAAGGGGTCTTTGCTACAACAGCAGGTCTGCAAAACCGAGTGAGGAAAGGGTAATTCTCTTTTCTGGAAGGCAAAGGAGCCAAAAAGGGATGAAATACAACGAGATTCCCAGCTGCTGAGCTTACAAAGGGACCCAGCAGCTGCAGGGAACGTCTGACGTCCCCAGCAAAGGCCACGAGTGGGGCAATGCCCGGAGCTGCGGCGACACGAGGGAGCGCAGGAACTCCAGCTGCACAGCGCAGCCAAAACAATGGGATCACAACAAATTAAAGCATCATAAAGCAGGGGACGGTGGCACCCTTCCAGGTCACAAGGGGCCCCGCACGGGGGGGAGGTGTGAGCGAGGAAACAAGGGATGCCTTCAGCAGCACTTTGATGGAACGCTCCGTTTGCGCTGCCGCAACGAAGCCGGCGCAGCTTGGCTCGCGCTCAGGGCCTCCCCTCCTTCCCCCTCCCCCGAAGAGCAGACAAGGCCATTTCCAGCCCAGCAATTGAAAGCACAGCGTCAGGTTTTTACGGTGGGACACAAATTCCTGCAGCCTGGACGTCAGCAGCGAGGCTGAATGGGGAACACGGAAGAGGCGCCGTTCCTGCAAAGCCGGAAAGGCGTGCGTGCGCACAGCGCTCACAGCGGGACCCCAAGGGCGACCCCAGCTCCCTGCAGGGGCTGCCACCCCTCCTGCGCCCTGTCTGAGCGCTGATTTGGCTCGTGCCACCCCACGGGGCTCACAGCAGGCGCTGAGGACCATCGCGGTGCCCTGGCGAGGTGAAAGCTGGCAGCCACGGGGACCAAAGCGTTTCCTGGCAGCTCGCAGCTCTTGCCAGAAAGCTCCCGGCTCTCTGCTCGTGGAGGATGTCGGGAGCAAACGACTCTCAGGGCTCCATCTCTGTCCTCGGCTGCTCTGAGCAGGGCACGCACGCCTCACCCCATCGTTCGGGGCGGCTGAGCTCACCTGCAATCTGCTTCATGAAGGTCATGCAGACGCCGTCGGCGCCGAGCACGCCGCTCTTCACCAGCTCCCTCAGCAGCCACAGCAGCTGGGCAGAAGCAGAAAGGAACGTGGGTCGGGTGGATGCAATGCCATCCTTCCCCCCCCCCCTTCCCCTTTAGTCCCTTCCAGGTGGGCCCACGACCCCCCCCCCCCCCCGGCTCCAATGCTCCCTCCTCACCCTCTGCCAGCTTGGCAGCCCCCCTCACCTGGGTGCGACAGGTATCCTGCAGCTTCAGGTACTTCTCCATGAGGATCTGGTTGATCTTGTTGAGGACGATGTTCATTCCATCTCTGCTCACCAGGGCCAGGTCCCGGTAGCACTGCAGCAGGGGAAAGGCCCCGTAATGAAAAACATGCAATGGTGGTTGTTTTTTTTTTATCTAAACCTGATTAGATAACAGCAAATAAAACATCTCGGGGAAGGGACACCGAGGCTGGCGGGTTCCAGGGGTGACCTGAATCCACATCCTGGGGCTGAGCCAGCATTGCTGGCAGGGTTTCTGCAGTCAGGCCAGGAGCCAGAAGCTGCCCATCGCAGAGCAGACACCACAGGGCGCCTCACATCCATCTCCCCCATCCCAGCTGCAGCTCTGGAGGGACTGAGAGCAGAGAGGAAAGGCCAGGAAGGATCCATTAACCAACAGTTCATCCACCACCAGCAGCAGCCAGGCCAGAGAGAGCAAAAGGTGCCGGCTCTGCCTTCCTCCTCCTCTGCTCAGGACAGCGGGGGGTGGAGGATGATTAGGAAGTAATTTGCTAAGTAGCTCTGCACGAATGTTAATTTGTGCTGGTAAATGTCATGATATTCCAGAGAGCAGAGGTCTGGTCTCCGCATCCTCCTTTGCAGGACTTAATGAGGCCTCAGAAGATCCCTTTGATGAGGTTTCCTGCACTCCAGTTTTCACCCTGCCTGTTTTCGTGCAGCGCCGTTTAAACAGATTTCAAACAAACAAACCAAACCAAATTGGATCCCCTGCTGCAGCCCCCGGCACGAGGAGGGTTGTGATAAACCACAGCCAGGGCTGCAGGAAACCTCCAGGGCTCAGCACTGAGGGATGGGGGGGGAGAAACCCGAATTCTTCCACTGTTGCCAAAGCTGTGAGCAACCCATCGCCTTCTCCTCATTCCGGGCTGCTGCTCGCACAGAGATGCTTAATGAACAGGAAGGAATAAGTGACCAAGGTGAGCTTTAAACCAGGGAGGTGGGAAATAAATGAAACAGCCCCAGAGCAGGGAAAGGATCCCAAGCCAGGGCAGGAGGAGACGACAGAACCGGGCTGCAGCGCGGCTCCGCGCCGAGCGGTAACGAAAGGGAGAAGTGCCAGACACAGGAGGCAGCCCTGCCACATCAGCTGCTGTCACTTGGGCGTTCGAAGGCGGCCAAGTGTCCCTGCTCACAGCTGGATGCGTTCAGCACAGCTCATCTCTCCCTGCTGCAATGGCAAGGCGTTGAGACAGGGGGGGGGGAGAGCTGCAGCTCGGCCCCACTGCAGCTCCGGCCCCATTCCTACAGCAGGGGGTTTAAGAGCCACGACGGGGCAGAAGGAGAGAGCTGCCCCAGCAGCAAGCACAGAAGGGCCCCCCGTGTTCAACCACCTCCAATATCCTCTTTTCTTTTGCTATTCCTGCTGGGGAGGGGATGCTTGGTCCACAGCAGCGCTGCTTCCACACCACCTGCGTGGCTCTGATGCTCCTGCAGGCACACAGGGCTGTGCTGAGCCCCTGCTCTCTCGCACCCCCTGCAAGATGCTCCATCAGCCACGTGAGCCTCGACCTTTGCGAGCAGGGGAGCGAAGCAAGGAGAAATTCACCCCCCCCCCAAAAATCAAGCAGAAAAACACTGTTGGCCCCCGGCCATGCTGTCTGGACACCAAGAAGGCGACACCGAGAGCTGACAGCAGATCCCAGTGGCCTGGCAGCCCCAATTATCCTCTAAGAAAAGCACTGCGCTCCCAGGATCTGACCTGACAAGGGCAGCGGGAGCAGCATCGCCATGGCAGCAGGTAAAGTCCCCCTGCCAGCTGGGCTGCCTGGACCCCTTGCCAAAGGAAATTACAGAGGGGAAGGCGCTGCAGAGGCTCCGCTCGGCCCCTTTGCGACGCGATCGTCAGGCAGATGAAACGCCACAGCTCACCAGACCCGCTGCCAGCACAGCAAAGCACCTGCCCTGCCAGCCCTGCGCTCCCACGCTCAGCTCCTGGGCTCTGAGAATTCCTTTCCAGCTGAGCTCCACCGCGTCCTGGAGGAGAGGAGAACATTTCCTTCCACGTGGAGGAGGGGAAGCATCCCGCGGCTCAGCAATAAGTGCTGCTCTTTGGCTCCCACGCTTCTCGGGAGGAAGGATGAGACCCGATTCAGCCCCTTGGGGTTGATGTGGCCGCCGCCGCCTCGCAGTCAGGGCAGGAGGCAGAACTGGAGGGCAGCAGGGATTCTGCCACCGGATTTGGGAAGGTTTGGAGGAGATGGAGCGAGCCAGCAGCACCGGCAGCTGAGCCTCCATGCTCCCAGGTGAGGCGCGATCCCCTTCTATGATGCGATTTCTGGGACCTCAACGCCACCGCAGCCAGAGCTGTCAGCTGGATCTGCTGCTTCAGCGAGCACAGCTCTGCCCTCGCAGCACTGATCAAAACACAAATCAAGCACAAGCACAAATCCAAAGAGAACAGGGCGTGAGTCAACACCCCGAGTCCAGCGCAGCCCCAGGGCCGCGCATCCCTAACAACGCAACGCAGCGAACGCCGTCCATCCCTTCCATCCTGCACCTCGCCTGGTCACTGCAAAGCACCCAACCCAGGACCCCTGGGTGCCCCCCACCTCACGCAGCCCCTCCAGCAGGGCTGTGGGATCCCCTCAGCTGCACAGCGCCTTCCTTCCTGCTCCACAGCGCGGCTTCCAGCTGAGCTGCTCTCAAAGCCCAGCGTTCGTCTGCGCGGCGGCGGCTCGCAGCGGTTTTTAAAAGCCACGCTTTGCAGCAGCATTAAAAATAAGGGTTGCTTCGAAATTAAATCTGCTCTGCAAGATTAATAGAAGCCAACAGCTAAGATGCAATTTTCTCCAGGAATTGAATGCCTCTCCTCCAGAGCCCCATTATTTCTGGAGGCATCTACAGCCAACCTGTAACACACAGATCCCTGCCGGGCCCCCAAGGGGAAGGCAGAGGCTGGGAAGGGCTCTCCAGCTTCTTGAAGCCTCTGTGCTCTTCCTCCCACAACGAAAATCAATCAACCCCGGGGCTGTGAAAGGACCCAAGCACCCCGATTGCCTGCATCACGGGGATGGAACCGAACCACGACGGCCCAAAGTCGGTCGTGCTGCTCTTGTAAAGGCGGCTCGGTGCGCTGGGCTGCGCCTGCTGCTGCTGTTAGGAAGGCAGAATCCCTCAAGCATCAACACTGCGCACACCGATGGCACAGCTTTACCTTCTGTGCCTGAGTGGGTTCGGTCAGGACCAGAGTGAAAAGGCCCAGGCAGATCTCCTCGTGTTGGGAGGCTCCTTTGCATATCTGGAAGAGAAGAGAGCCGTCAGCGAGCAGGGGGTGCAAAGGGACGGGCAGGAAGGCAGATGGACGGGAAGCTTTTCTTGGGGCAAGGAAAGGGAATCAAACAGCGAACACAGCATCACAGAACTGCAGGGGTTGGAAGGGAGCTGCAGAGCTCACGGAGTCCAACCCCCTGCCAAAGCAGCTCCTACAGCAGTCGCACAGCTCGGCATCCAGGCAGGTCTGGAACATCTGCAGAGCAGGAGACTCCACCACCTCCCTGTGCAGCCTGTTCCAGTGAGCAGTGGGACCCATAGAGACACGTTGGGACCCATAGAGACACGTTGGGATCCATAGAGACACATTGGGACCCATTGGGACCCATAGAGACACGTTGGGACCCATAGAGACACGTTGGGACCCATAGAGACACGTTGGGACCCATTGGGACCCATAGACTCTCCCACCTCCTTGTGCAGCCTGTTCCAGTGAACAGTGGGACCATAGAGACACATTGGGACCCATAGAGACACGTTGGGACCCATAGACTCCACCACCTCCCTGTGCAGCCTGCTGCAGTGAACAGTGGGACCCATAGAGACACGTTGGGACCCATTGGGACCCATAGAGACACGTTGGGACCCATGGAGACACGTTGGGACCCATGGAGACACGTTGGGACCCATAGACTCCACCACCTCCCTGTGCAGCCTGCTGCAGTGAACAGTGGGACCCATAGAGACACATTGGGACCCATAGAGACACGTTGGGACCCATAGAGACACGTTGGGACCCATAGACTCCACCACCTCCCTGTGCAGCCTGCTGCAGTGAACAGTGGGACCCATAGAGACACATTGGGACCCATTGGGACCCATAGAGACAGGTTGGGACCCATAAACTCCACCAGCTCCCTGTGCAGCCTGCTGCAGTGAACAGTGGGACCCATAGAGACACATTGGGACCCATTGGGACCCATAGAGACATGTTGGGACCCATTGAGACACATTGGGACCCATTGGGACCCACAGAGACACGTTGGGACCCATTGGGACACGTTGGGACCCATAGACTCCACCACCTCCCTGTGCAGCCTGTTCCAGTGAACAGTGGGACCCATAGAGACACGTTGGGACCCACTGGGACCCATAGAGACATGTTGGGACCCATAGACTCCACCAGCTCCCTGTGCAGCCTGTTCCAGTGAACAGTGGGACCCATAGAGACACATTGGGACCCATTGGGACACGTTGGGACCCATTGGGACACGCTGGGACCCATGGAGACACGCTGGGACCCATAGACTCCACCACCTCCCTGTGCAGCCTGCTGCAGTGAACAGTGGGACTCATAGAGACACATTGGGACCCATTGGGACCCATAGAGACACGTTGGGACCCATTGGGACACGTTGGGACCCATAGACTCCACCAGCTCCCTGTGCAGCCTGTTCCAGTGAACAGTGGGACCCATAGAGACACGTTGGGACCCATTGGGACCCATTGGGACCCATTGGGACACGTTGGGACCCACGGACTCCACCAGCTCCCTGTGCAGCCTGCTCCAGCGCTCCGTCACCCTCGAAGGTGCCCCCCCTGAGCTCTGCACACCTCGGTGACAGCAGCACTGCTGCAAACCTCGCAGCGCGGGCAGATCTGGGGCTGTTTCAGGATGCTTTGCAAACAGAGCAGCGCGCCAACGCTGAGCGCTGCAGCTCTGAGCCTCCTCTCGGAGGAGCCTTCCTCAACTCTGTGCGCCCAGCCTGCCTCGCCAACCCTCTTCCCGCTAAGGAAAGGCAATTTCGGGCCACTCATTCCAAGAGCCCAAGGTGTTCTGAGGAGAAAAAAACACATCTAACATATCTGAGAGCTGCTGGGATGTCACACGACGGCTCTCCTTATACGGTAACAACTGCAGCGCGCCGGCGAGTATTTTAAGACCGCGCTGAGATAGAAATAAATGCTCCATCCTTCAGCTGAAGGACTGAACCTGCCCTTTCCAGCGGTCTGCGCTCGGCCTGTTTGCAGGCCAAGAAAAAGCTGAGCGGTGCAGGAGCACAAAAATACATCAGCAATGCAAACAGCGGCAGCACGTGAGCAGCAGCAGCCGCGCAGGCGCTCGCACGCTGCTGGACGCCAGGAACTGGCTCCCAAATCCCATCCTAGGGGATCAAAACCAGCCATGTTTTGCCTATCAGCTCCCAGACGGGTTGAAGAACGGGGAGAACGCGGGAGGCTCCATCCCCTCTTAACGCCCCTCCGCTCTCCGTGCTGCCACAGCCTGAACTGTTCCTTCCAGGCTGAATTTCACCCCAGTGGGGGAGACGACACTTACGTGTGCATTCAGGGCATCGTTGGCCTCTCGCTCCGACAGCCCGTTGGTCAGCGAAGTCACGATGCCCACGCACCTCTCCAGCCTCTGAAACACAGCAAAGCACCGTCAGCAGCGCAGGGGAGGAGAGCAGGGCGCTGCTGCTCGGAACCAGCAGGGATGAGGGGCTTCACAAACAACTCCTCCACGCGCAGCTCTGGCTCGGAAACCACCCTGCTGACAGAGCTCCAAGAGCCAAAAAGGAAAGGCGTCGTGTCTCAGCGACACCAAAATCGGTGCCGTTTGGATGGGGGGGGGGGGGGGCAAAGAGGCAGCGTGCAGAACTGGGATGGAGCTGGGATCCCCAACTGCAGGAGCCACGCAGCTGCCCCACAGCTGCCCCACAGCTGCCCCACGGCCCTGCGAGGCCCCTCCAGCCCCATTCAGCACGCAGGGAGCTCTGCTGCTCCATCTCTGAGCGACTCCTGGCCCAGAGCAGCAGGAACAGCTGATGTTTCCACATGAGCATCCCTGCGAGGCGATGGAAGGCCTCTCCAACACACGGCACCCACATGACAGCGCTGGGGAAGCAAACAGTGAGAGCTCCCACTGTCAGAGCAGCTCCTGTCTTTCTTTTCTTTTTACAGACCAGCTCTCCTGCAGCAACAACTGCTGGCTTTGGTTGTTCTGGCAGTGAAGACACGACTTTTGCAGGGCCCAGAGGTGCTGATGTGCGACGCCTCCTTTTGCACAGAGGTTCCCCCCTGCTGCCCCCATCTCTGAGGCAGGGAAAGCCTGAGCAGAACAGACAGCCCTGCAGTCCCTGATCTGCTCATCGCTGCCCGCTGCCCTGCAAAAGCAACGCTCAGGTTGTGGAGCTGCTTGGGGACTCCTGTGCACATCCAAGGGGCTGCGGGGAAGAGTTGGTTGAGAAAAGGCTCAGCAGTTCTTGGAGGTGATGTGAAGAAAGATGCAGCGCTCAGCAGCGCAGAGACACAGGCTTGGTTGGAGGCCCAGCTACGGCATTACGAAAGAGCAACAGGGCAGCCACGAAAATCCCCACTGCAAAGTGAATTATTTGAAAGGGAGAAGAGCAGAACAAAATCCAACGGCTGAGAGACAAAGCCAGGAAAACCCCAGCACGAAGGAAGGCAACTTGTTGGCAAGGAACGCAGCCTGGAGCCACCAGAAGAGCTGTGAAGAGGTTCAGCATCAATTCGTGCCTTTGATCCCAGGGCCGACGGGGCAGAGCTCACGGATAAGCAGATGTACCAGCTTGCTGCTGCTGGGCACGCAAGAAAAACTGAGTTTCCAACCTCTGAGCAACCGTAACGGCTCACAGTGCAGCAACAAAACCCACAGCAGAGCAAGAGGGCCGTCTTGGTGTCAGCATAAGCCCCAAATTGCTCCGAGCCTCCTGTTCACCTCCATCACATCGCTGTGCCCAATGGCCGTCAGCTGCAGCTGCTGCTGGAGGGGAAGGGAAGGCAGCAGCTTCCATTTTAACTTTGCAGGCCGAGGACTCAACGCACAAGGAGCACATGGGGGTTTTCCTGCACGTTGAGCTCTTTGCACGAGAAACAAACTCGTGCTGGTAAATCCAACGGCTTGGGAGTATGACTGATAGCTGAGCTTGTGTTATCAAAGCAGGCTTGCTTCCAGCAGCGAAGGAAGGATGGAGGAGCAGCTGCTGGGAGGCCTCTCACGGTCACCTCTCCAACCTGGGCCCTGTGTGCGTGGTGCAGCCGATGCTGGCGGTGCCCCAAATCCCAGCAGATCCATGCCAGGCAGGCAGAGCTGCGCGGGGCCGACCTGGGAACGGCTCAACCAGAGCTGGATGGCACCCAAAGCACACACAGGGACTGCTGGGTGCTCGGAAGGAACATAAATACGCTCCGACTCCAGACCTCGAGACCCAGCTGTTCCAGTTACCTCCCTGTTTTTCTCCTATAGCTGAAATCCTGCGCGATGTTTTCTCTGCCTCACGAGCCATAAGTACACGTTTCCATCCCACAGTAAATAATCCTTCTCTCCCATAAGCACAGCCATCCGGGGGGGGGGGAAAAACAGAACCCCAGCCCGGGTTGGAGGCTTCACAGCCGCTCACCCTGCGAGCCAGACGTGCTCCAGTACTGCAGAAGGGCTGAGGAGATGCAGCACTCGCAGCCCTGAGCCCAGCTCCCTTCCCCACCTCCTGGGCACTGCTGACAGCCCCCGGTGCTCCTGGGGAGCCCCAAACCCTCCCTACCTGCAGGAACCTCTCAGCTGATGCTGTGGGAAGAAAAGCCCAGCGTGTGGCCTAGCTCTGGTTCAGCTCCCCGCTACCCCACCCTGAGGGATGGGTGCAGCACCCATTCCCCCTGCCCACCTCGCAGCCCCCCCGCTTTCCCCCCCTCCCTCCCCCCCTTTTCACACCTACCTCCTCCAACTCATCCTTGGCATCCAGAAGGGTGGAGAGCAGCAACTTGCCTCCTCCTCCTCCTCCTCCTGCCGCTCCCCCCTTCCCCTTCTGCATCTCCATTGCTGCTGGGGGGAGCCCCTACCCGAAGCGGGGGGAGGGAGGGGGGGCTCCTCTCAGGTCAAGCCCCCCCTCTACGTCCCCACTTTAGTCCCCGCTGCCCCCCCCAGTCCTTCCCGGCTGGAGGATGGGGGGGCTCTACGGGCACCCCCCGGTACCCCCGCAGCACTCCGCGCTCCGGCAGTGGGGATGTGCGGGGGTCACCAGGCCCGTGAGGGAGGCGGGGAACACGGGGGAGAGGGGTGGGGATGGGGGGGAGGGGGGGGGCTGCTCTTCGACCACGCTTGGCCCCCCCTGCCGCCGTGCTGGGCTATGGGGGCCCGTGGGGCAGAGAGCCCCGGGGGTACGGGGAGGCACCGGGGCTGACAGCTGCCCCGGAGGACGAGGCGAGCGCTGCGGCTGCCGCCGGGCCGAACCGGGCCTGGAGCGGTGGCAGCGGGGGGGGGTTTCGGTGCCGGGGGAGGGGAGCGGCGGCTGCGCGCCCCCCGCCCAGCGCCGCCGGCCGGAAGTCACTAGGAAAGGGACGGGAGGCCCTGGGCGGAAGAGGAAGCGCACGCCGCCGGAAGCTGCCGCCCCTCCTTCACGTCAGCCAATGGAAGCGGAGAGATAGCTTTGAGTAACAGGGCGTGGAGGGGCGGGGTCGAGCCGCGCTGATCGACCAATGAGAAAGTGGAGGCGGGGTCTGGGCGCGGGATGACCACGCCCTCTTCGGCGGGACCGGGACACGCGGGGCTCCCGGGATGGGATGGGATGGGGGCACCGGGACCCCCGGGACGGCGCGGACCCCAAATACCTCCCGAGCGGGCACAGCCGAGCCCCCCGACCCATCTCCGAGCTGCCAGACCCCCCTGACCCCCATAGGTCTCCCCGTGTGGAACGCTTCCCCCCCCCCCACGACCCCCACCTCATATCGTCCGTCCCACTTCTCTCTTCTCCGTTCCCCTGACCCCCCCCTCCCCTACGTCTGTGTTCCCTGCAGTGGGGGGCGGGGGGCACCGGGACCGAGGTGGGGTGGGGGGAAGGCATCAATGGGACCAACGACATGGGGGGGGATTCGGGGGAGGGAGGGGGGGGGAGATACAGACACGCCATGAGCGCACGGCGCCTGCGCACACACAGCTTTATTACAAAAAAAATCCATCGCTCCGGTGCCGCCGCCCGGGGGGGGGGGGGGAACCGACCCGACCCGCACCGGGACACGGGGCCGCCCCGTCCCGCTCCTCCGCTCACCATCGCGGTCAGTGCCGGGCTCAGCCCCCCCCCCAAACGCTCCTCCCTCCCCGGTGCGGTGGGGTTCGTCCCCCGTACGGCCCCAGCCGGGGGGCTCCGGGTATCGGGGGGGGGGGGCTCAGCCCCGCGTGCTGCTCCCACGCTCCCCCAGCAGCCAGTAGGTCCGGACCTTGCCCTTACCCTATGGGGTGGGGAGGGGGACAGGGAGCTCCGTTACCCCAATGGGGCTGGGGGACTTCGAGGGTTCTGGACAGAGTGTGGGGGGGTGCCTGTGCCCCATTGGGATCGGGGTGAAAGGGGGGGGATTTAGGGGGGTGCCCTACTGGGATGAGAGCGCAGTGGGTTCCCATTGGGGCCCAGGAGCACCCATGGCCCAGTGGGATTGGGGTACTGAGAATGGCCACTGTTCTGTTGGGATAAGGGCCCAAATGCTTCCCACTGCCCCATTGGGATCGGGGTTAGGGTCGGGGTCCAAAGGGTTCCTATTGCCCCATTGGGATCAGGACCCATGGGTTCCCATTGCCCCATTGGGCTTGGGGTTAGGGTCGGGGTTCAAAGGGTTCCCAGTGCCCCACTGGGATCAGGGTTAGGGTCGGGGTCCAAAGGGTTCCTATTGCTCACTGGGATCAGGACCTACGGGTTCCCATTGTCCCATTGGGATCAGGACCCACAGGTTTCTACTGCCCCATTGGGATCGAGGTTAGGATCAGGGCCCAAATGGTTCCCATTGCCCCATTGGGATCAAGGTTAGGGTCGGGGTCCAAAGGGTTCCCATTGCCCCATTGGGATCGGGGTTAGGGTCAGGGCCCAAAGGTTTCCTATTGCCCCATTGGGATCAGGACCCACAGGTTTCTACTGCCCCATTGGGATTGAGGCCCAAATGGTTCCCACTGCCCCATTGGGATCAAGGTTAGGGTCGGGGTCCAAAGGGTTCCTATTGCCCCATTGGGATCAGGACCCAAATGGTTCCCACTGCCCCATTGGGATCGGGGTTAGGGTCAGGGTCCAAAGGGTTCCTATTGCCCCATTGGGATCAGGACCCAAATGGTTCCCACTGCCCCATTGGGATCAAGGTTAGGGTCAGGGTCCAAAGGGTTCCTATTGCCCCACTGGGATCAGGACCCACGGGTTCCCATTGTCCCATTGGGATCAGGACCCACAGGTTTCTACTGCCCCATTGAGATTGAGGTTAGGATCAGGGCCCAAATGGTTCCCATTGCCCCATTGGGATTAGGGTTAGGGTCAGGGTCCAAAGGGTTCCTATTGCCCCATTGGGATCAGGGTTAGGGTCGGGGTCCAAAGGGTTCCTATTGCCCCACTGGGATCAGGACCCATGGGTTCCCACTGCACCAATGGGATTGAGGCCCAAATGGTTCCCATTGCCCCATTGGGATCAAGGTTAGGGTCAGAGTCCAAAGGGTTCCTATTGCCCCACTGGGATCAGGACCCACGGGTTCCCATTGCCCCATTGGATGGAGGCATAAGGGGTGCCTGTGGCCCCACTGTGTTTGGGGTACAGAGGGAACCCATCGCCCGTTGGATGGGACCCACGTTGGGGGTCGCTGGGACCCCGCCGGGTGGCTCGGGGCTGCGGCC